ATCCCACTCACCCATCCCTCATCCCACTCACCCATCCCACATCCCACTCACCCATCCCTCATCCCACTCACCCATCCCTCATCCCACTCACCCATCCACATCCCACTCACCCATCCCTCATCCCACTCACCCATCCCTCATCCCACTCACCCATCCCACATCCCACTCACCCATCCCACATCCCACTCACCCATCCCACATCCCACTCACCCATCCCACATCCCACTCACCCATCCCACATCCCACTCACCCATCCCTCATCCCACTCACCCATCCCACATCCCACTCACCCATCCCACATCCCACTCACCCATCCCTCATCCCACTCACCCATCCACATCCCACTCACCCATCCCTCATCCCACTCACCCATCCCACATCCCACTCACCCATCCCTCATCCCACTCACCCATCCCACATCCCACTCACCCATCCCTCATCCCACTCACCCATCCCTCATCCCACTCACCATCCCACATCCCACTCACCCATCCCTCATCCCACTCACCCATCCCACATCCCACTCACCCATCCCACATCCCACTCACCCATCCCTCATCCCACTCACCCATCCCTCATCCCACTCACCCATCCCTCATCCCACTCACCCATCCCACATCCCACTCACCCATCCCACATCCCACTCACCCATCCCACATCCCACTCACCCATCCCACATCCCACTCACCCATCCCACATCCCACTCACCCATCACTCATCCCACTCACCCATCCCACATCCCACTCACCCATCCCACATCCCACTCACCCATCCCTCATCCCACTCACCCATCCCACATCCCACTCACCCATCCCTCATCCCACTCACCCATCCCACATCCCACTCACCCATCCCTCATCCCACTCACCCATCCCACATCCCACTCACCCATCCCTCATCCCACTCACCCATCCCTCATCCCACTCACCCATCCCACTCCCACTCACCCATCCCTCATCCCACTCACCCATCCCACATCCCACTCACCCATCCCACATCCCACTCACCCATCCCTCATCCCACTCACCCATCCCACATCCCACTCACCCATCCCTCATCCCACTCACCCATCCCACATCCCACTCACCCATCCCTCATCCCACTCACCCATCCCACATCCCACTCACCCATCCCTCATCCCACTCACCCATCCCTCATCCCACTCACCCATCCCACATCCCACTCACCCATCCCTCATCCCACTCACCCATCCCACATCCCACTCACCCATCCCTCATCCCACTCACCCATCCCACATCCCACTCACCCATCCCACATCCCACTCACCCATCCCACATCCCACTCACCCATCCCACATCCCACTCACCCATCCCACATCCCACTCACCCATCCCACATCCCACTCACCCATCCCACATCCCACTCACCCATCCCTCATCCCACTCACCCATCCCACATCCCACTCACCCATCCCTCATCCCACTCACCCATCCCACATCCCACTCACCCATCCCACATCCCACTCACCCATCCCTCATCCCACTCACCCATCCCTCATCCCACTCACCCATCCCACATCCCACTCACCCATCCCTCATCCCACTCACCCATCCCTCATCCCACTCACCCATCCCTCATCCCACTCACCCATCCCACATCCCACTCACCCATCCCACATCCCACTCACCCATCCCACATCCCACTCACCCATCCCACATCCCACTCACCCATCCCACATCCCACTCACCCATCCCACATCCCACTCACCCATCCCTCATCCCACTCACCCATCCCTCATCCCACTCACCCATCCCACATCCCACTCACCCATCCCTCATCCCACTCACCCATCCCACATCCCACTCACCCATCCCTCATCCCACTCACCCATCCCTCATCCCACTCACCCATCCCACATCCCACTCACCCATCCCTCATCCCACTCACCCATCCCACATCCCACTCACCCATCCCTCATCCCACTCACCCATCCCACATCCCACTCACCCATCCCTCATCCCACTCACCCATCCCACATCCCACTCACCCATCCCACATCCCACTCACCCATCCCTCATCCCACTCACCCATCCCACATCCCACTCACCCATCCCTCATCCCACTCACCCATCCCACATCCCACTCACCCATCCCTCATCCCACTCACCCATCCCACATCCCACTCACCCATCCCTCATCCCACTCACCCATCCCTCATCCCACTCACCCATCCCACATCCCACTCACCCATCCCTCATCCCACTCACCCATCCCACATCCCACTCACCCATCCCTCATCCCACTCACCCATCCCACATCCCACTCACCCATCCCACATCCCACTCACCCATCCCACATCCCACTCACCCATCCCACATCCCACTCACCCATCCCACATCCCACTCACCCATCCCACATCCCACTCACCCATCCCACATCCCACTCACCCATCCCTCATCCCACTCACCCATCCCACATCCCACTCACCCATCCCTCATCCCACTCACCCATCCCACATCCCACTCACCCATCCCACATCCCACTCACCCATCCCTCATCCCACTCACCCATCCCTCATCCCACTCACCCATCCACATCCCACTCACCCATCCCTCATCCCACTCACCCATCCCTCATCCCACTCACCCATCCCTCATCCCACTCACCCATCCCACATCCCACTCACCCATCCCACATCCCACTCACCCATCCCACATCCCACTCACCCATCCCACATCCCACTCACCCATCCCACATCCCACTCACCCATCCCACATCCCACTCACCCATCCCTCATCCCACTCACCCATCCCTCATCCCACTCACCCATCCCACATCCCACTCACCCATCCCTCATCCCACTCACCCATCCCACATCCCACTCACCCATCCCTCATCCCACTCACCCATCCCTCATCCCACTCACCCATCCCACATCCCACTCACCCATCCCTCATCCCACTCACCCATCCCACATCCCACTCACCCATCCCTCATCCCACTCACCCATCCCACATCCCACTCACCCATCCCACATCCCACTCACCCATCCCACATCCCACTCACCCATCCCACATCCCACTCACCCATCCCACATCTCACTCACCCATCCCACATCCCACTCACCCATCCCTCATCCCACTCACCCATCCCTCATCCCACTCACCCATCCCACATCCCACTCACCCATCCCACATCCCACTCACCCATCCCACATCCCACTCACCCATCCCACATCCCACTCACCCATCCCTCATCCCACTCACCCATCCCTCATCCCACTCACCCATCCCACATCCCACTCACCCATCCCTCATCCCACTCACCCATCCCTCATCCCACTCACCCATCCCTCATCCCACTCACCCATCCCACATCCCACTCACCCATCCCACATCCCACTCACCCATCCCACATCCCACTCACCCATCCCACATCCCACTCACCCATCCCTCATCCCACTCACCCATCCCTCATCCCACTCACCCATCCCTCATCCCACTCACCCATCCCTCATCCCACTCACCCATCCCACATCCCACTCACCCATCCCTCATCCCACTCACCCATCCCACATCCCACTCACCCATCCCTCATCCCACTCACCCATCCCACATCCCACTCACCGATCCCACATCCCACTCACCCATCCCACATCCCACTCACCCATCCCACATCCCACTCACCCATCCCTCATCCCACTCACCCATCCCACATCCCACTCACCCATCCCACATCCCACTCACCCATCCCTCATCCCACTCACCCATCCTCATCCCACTCACCCCCATCCCACCATCCCAACTCACCCCATTCCCTCATCCCACTCACCCCATCCCTCAATCCCACTCACCCCATCCCCTCATCCCCACATCACCCATCCCACATCCCAACTCACCCATCCCACATCCCACTCACCCATCCCCACATCCCCACTCACCCATCCCACATCCCACTCACACCCATCCCACATCACCACTCACCCATCCACACCATTCCTCACTCACCCATTCCCTCATCCCAACTCACCCATCCCTCATCCCACTTCACCCAATCCCACATCCCACTTCCACCCATCCCACATCCCACTCACCCCATCCCACATCCCACTCACCCATCCCCCTCATTCCCCACTCACCCCATCCCTCATCCCACTCACACCCATCCCTCATCCCACTCACCCCATCCCACATCCCACTCCCACCCCATCCCACATCCCACTCACCCATCCCACATCCCACTCACCCCCATCCCCACATCCCACTCACCCCATCCCACATCCCACTCACCCATCCCACATCCCACTCACCATCCCACATTCCCTACTCCACCCATCCCACATCCCACTCACCCATCCCACATCCCACTCAACCCACATCCCTCATCCCACTCACCCATCCCTCATCCCACTTCACCCATCCCTCATCCCACTCACCCATCCCTCACTCCCACTCATCCCATCCCACATCCCATCCACCCCCATCCCCTCATCCCACTCACCCATCCCACATCCCACTTCACCCATCCCTCATCCCACTCACCCATCCCCATCATCCCACTCACCCAATCCCCACATCCCCACTCAACCCATCCCCACATCCCCACATCACCCATCACTCACCCATCCACATCCACTTCACCCATCCCTCATCCCACTCACCCATCCCACATCCCACTCACCCATCCCACATCCCACTCACCCATCCCTCATCCACTCACCCATCCCTCATCCCCACTCACCCATCCCCACATCCCACTCACCCATCCCTCATCCCACTCACCCATCCCTCATCCCACTCACCCATCCCACATCCACTCACCCATCCCTCATCCCACTCACCCATCCCTCATTTCACTCATCCATCCCTCATCCCACTCACCCATCCCACATCCCACTCACCCATCCCACATCCCACTCACCCATCCCTCATCCCACTCACCCATCCCTCATCCCACTCACTCATCCCACATCCCACTCACCCATCCCTCATTTCACTCACCCATCCTACATCCCACTCACCCATCCCACATCCCACTCACCCATCCCACATCCCCGCACATCATGACAGACGGCCTGAGCAGGTCAAAGGTGCACTTCCAGGGTCGTGGAAGCCTAGCGCAAACACCTCCCCCGCCATTCCCACGCGAATGCATAGGGGTTGTCAGGGGGGATGCCGTACGCCCCTAGCAGACCCCTGCTGGAAATCTCGTTGTCATCTGAGAGGGATGCAGAGGGAATCAGAGGGGTTCAGAGGGGTTCAGAGGGGTTCAGAGGGAGAGAGGAGATGCAAGTACGGATGGTTAGGCGGGAAGAAACACCAACGCAAACACCTCCCCACGCCACTTCGACTCAAGTGCATAGGAGTTATCCTTATCAGGGGGCACGCTGTGCACCTTGGGGTGCTTGCTGGTGCGCCAGGTCTAGCACCAGGCGGGGGGCAGCTAGACACGATGAGGACAGTCCATGCCGAGACTCAAGCAGCCCACCTGATTCACTGATCCCCTTGAGCACGTCCAGCTGCAGAACTTTCCCTGGAACGCCTTTGGGGTTCTGCGCGTGGCCCAGGGGGTCCCACTCGCCGCCGCCACCCCCCAGCATCACATACAGCATGCCGTCCCGCAGAATGACATACAGTATGCAACCCACCTGGTTCGCTGATTCCGTTGAGAACGTCCAGCCGCAGCACCTTCCCCTGGAACGCCTTGGGGTTCTGCGCGAGGCCCAGGGGGTCCCACTCGCCACCGCCATCCCCCAGCATCACATACAGCATGCCGTCCGCGCCAAAGCGGATCTGCCCCCCGTTGTTGTTGATGAACGGCTGGCCCAGCCGCACTATGTACCGGACTATTGTGGGCTCGATGCTCGATTGCTGGTGGGGAGAGGGGGGAGTCAGGGGGAGTCTCAGTAGAACGTGCCGAACCGGATCCGCCCCCCCGTTGTTGTTGGTGAACGCCTGGCCCAGACGCACTATCTTGGCCTCGATGCTTTACTGCTGGTGGGGTGGGGAGAGGGAGGAGGAGGCGGGGGGTTTGGAGCGTGAGGGAGAGAGGGAGGGAGGAAAGGAAGAGAGGAAGGGGGGGGGTAAGAGCAGGGTGCTTCAGACGCCATCCCCCAGCATGACCTATATCAGCTTCGCTGCAGGCAGAGAACTCCGCCACACCAGTCACGTTCCTGCACAGACCTCCCACCTCCGAGCTTCCACCTGTGATGGAGCTTCCATCGGCCCTACCACAGACAACTATGCCTCAGTCCCTGGTGCCCGCCCCCTCCATACACACCTGGGAGATCTTGGTGAGACATACCTGAGTTTTCTGCATGCAGTGACATGCTCTTGGTGGGGGTGCAGAGCATGTCACTGCACGCAGAAAACACCGCCACCACAGTCACATTCCAGCACAGATCCCCTGTGCCCCACTTCCCTCGGGCCTACCACAGACAGCCCAACACACCTGAGAGATCTTAGCTGGAGTACACAGGGTGTCGCTACATGCAGAGAACTCCGCCACCACAGTCACGTTCCAGCACAGATCTCCTGCCCCCCACTTCCATTGGGGTACCAGCTTACCACAGACAGCCCAGCGCACCTGAGAGATCTTCGCAGGCGTGCAGAGCGTGTCGCTGCATGCAGAGAACTCCGCCACCACAGTCACATTCCTGCACAGATCTCCTGCCCCCCACTTCCCATCCGGGTTGGCCGCCTGGACCTTCTCCGGGGTGCAGTCCACGTCCTTGTAGCAGCCGCACACCGCGGCCTTGCAGTCGCTGTTGACTGAAGAGTCGCAGGTGAAAGAGACGAAGAAGCGGCCGTTGCGGGGGTAGTCGGGGTGAAATGCAATGCCCACTGCCCCTGCTCCACGCCCTGTGCCACCCTGTGAGGGGGGAGAGGGGGAGGGGAGGGATGGCGGACGGGGGGCAGAGGGAGCAGGCGGGACGGGGGGGGGGACGTGATGTGAACATATTGGGCTTGCAGGAAGAATCGCAGCCGCAGACGGTGGGCTTGCAGTCGCTGGTGACTGAGGAGTGGCAGGTGAAAGAGACGAAGAAGCGCCCGTTGCGGGGGTAGTCGGGGTGAAAGGCGATGCCCACTGCCCCCTGCTCCGCGCCCTGTGCCACCCTGTGAGTGGGGAGAGGGGGAGGGAAAGGGATGGCAGAGGGGGGGCAGAGGGGGCAGCGGGGACAGAGGGGGGGGGGAGGGGGGCCACGTGTTGTGAACATATTGGGCTTGCAGGCAGCATCGCAGCCGCAGACGGTGGGCTTGCAGTCGCTGTTGACTGAGGAGGCGCTGGTGAAAGAGACGAAGAAGCGGCCGTTGCGCGGGTAGTCGGGGGGGTGAAATGCGATGCCCACTGCGCCCTTCTCCACGCCCTGTGCCACCCTGTGAGGGGGGAGAGCAAACGAGACGGGAAAGAATGATCAGAAGCAGCCATTGCAGGGGTAGTCAACTTTTGAGTCGACTCAAAAGTCATCTGTGAGGGGGGAGAGCAAAAGAGACGGGGAAAGCTTTTGAGGCGCCTCAAAAGACGGGAAAGAATTATCAGAAGCAGCCATTGCAGGGATAGTCGGAGTGAGATGCGACGCCCGCTGCCCCCTGCTCCGTGCCGTGAGCCACCCTGTGGGAGACAGATGGAAGGAGAGGGACGTGGAGAGTGGGGAGAGGGGGGAAGGGCGAAGGGGAACACAGTGGCCTTGTGGAGTGAAGGGGAGGGAAAGAGAGGAGGGTGGGGAGTGATCTATTTTTGAGGCGCCTAAAAATGGAGTGAGGGGGGAGGGAAAGAGAGGAGGGTGGGGAGGGGCTGGGGGCTTGTGGGGGAGGTAATGTGTAGGAGACGAAAAGACGGCAAAATCGAGGCATGGGGGCAGTGGGGAGCCTGCTGATGTCGAGAAAACGCTAAATTCCCATCGCAATGCCCCCTCCCATCAATGCCCCTCCTTACTCCCTCTCCCCCCCACCCCCCACCACCCCCAACCCTCATTCTCCTCATCAAATTCTGACCTTACTCCACCTTCCAGACACTCCCCCCTCTCACCCCCAACAACTCCCACCCCCCCCCCCCCCTCCCCCCCCCCCCCTCACATGTCTCACTTACAAGTGGCTGATATCGAGAAACGTCGAACCCCCGTCAGAAGGCAGATAGTCCGACGACCCCGGCTCGGGCAGGTCATAAAGAAACAACCTGCCCGCCCGCTCGAGGAAGAACGCGCGCCGCGATTGGTCCGGGTGCGGGGTCATTGCCACATAATAGCTATTCTCCACACTCTTTTCGTTCTTGGTACTCAACCCAATCTGCTCCACACACATATCATTCACGGGCGGCAAAACATCCTCCCCCAATTCGTCCGGGTAATCCACCGGTTTACCCCGATAACAAATCTTCGGCCCGTCCCCCGGGTTCTTATTCGGGGGCATGAACCGGCGGCAAAACTCGCCCTTAGTTAAGTAAACGTCGTAAATCGAGATGTAACGGGGGTCGTTTGTGGCGACGAAGGGGTTTTTGGGTATGGGGACCATGGCGCAGACGTCCCAGACGGTGGAGCAGAAGGGCTGCGACTCTACGGGGTCGCGGTTGGACTGCGCTGTGCAGAGATACGGCACGTCGGCGTAGCGGCCGTTGCGGTCCCGGGAGTAGAGCTGCGTGGCATAGGGATCGCACTCCTGGTGTGGGGTTGTGAAGGAGGGGGGGGGGGGGGGGGGGGGGAGAAGGGGAGGGGTTGGGTGAAGGAGAAAGGGCATGTGAAGAGGTGTAGAAATCACATTCTAGCCCCAGAGGAGGGTCGACATCGAGGACGGTCCAGCAGAAGGGCTGTGTCTCTATGGGGTCGCGGTTGGGCTGCGCTGTGCACGTGTACGGCCGGCGTAGCGGCCGGTGTGGTCCAGGGAATAGAGCTGGGTGGCGTAGGGGTCGCACTCCTGGTGTTAGGGACGGGGTGAAAGGGCATGGCAAGGAATTGCTCTTGTGAATCGTGATCCTGGGAGTCGGAGCACAGCTGCTCAGGAGTGACACTCCCTGTGTAATGAGTCGATTTTGAGTCGACTAAAAAATCGACTCATTACACACAGCTGCTCAGGAGTGACACTCCCTGCATGCGGACCATGGTGCAGACGTCCCAGACAATGGAGCAGAAGGGCCGGGTTTCTACGGGGCTGCGGTTGGACTGCGCTGCGCAGAGGTACGGAATGCCGGCGTGGTGGCCAGTGTGGTCGCGGGAGTAAAGCTGAGTGGAATAGGGGTCGCACTCCTGGTGGGTGTGGTTGGTAGGGTTGGAAGGGGGAACGGGGTTGAAAGGGAGTGGTTGGACTGCGCTGCGCAGAGGTACGGCACGTCGGCGTAGCGGCCGGTGTGGTCCCGGTGTGGTCCCGGGCGTAGAGCTGAGTGGCACTCCTGTGGGTGTGGTTGGTAGGGTTGGAATAAGGAAACGGGGTTGAAAGGGAGAACGAGAGAGTGAGAGGAGGTACGGCACGTCGGCGTAGCGAGCGGCCACAGTGGTAACAGGAATAGAGCTGCGTCGTGTAGGGGTCGCACTCTTGGTGTAGAGGGAGAGTTGGGGCGTGATGGGATGGGTTGGCAGGGGGGGGATGGGGATGCAACAGAATAGAAAGTGCAATCATTGGTTCGCGAAGGGTTTGAGACGGCAGGTCGTGTGGTGGGAACTTCGAGGTCTATAGGAACAAAAGGGGGGGTGCTGGTCAAAAGGGATTCGCTGCACCCCACGCAGCACTCACCGCACGCACACAGCACATTTCGACGCACACACACACAGCAGGTACTTTTGACTCGACTCAAAAGGGGGGGTGCTGGAAAAAAGGGATTTACTGCACACAGCACACTTCGACGCACACACACACACACACACACACACACACACACACACACACACACACACACACACACACACACACACACACAGCAGGCACTCACGGCACAGAGCACTGCTTCCAGCACGCAGAGGCAGTTCTTGGCGGCGGAGTTGGCGCCCATGGCAGTGCTGTTCTGGAGCAGAGGCTTGGTACCCCCTCCCCCTTCCCCTCCAACTCCCTCCCCCCCCACCCCTCAAACTCCGCCCCCCACCCCCAACTCCCTCCCCCCTCCAAAACCGCTCCCTCCCTCCCCCCCCCCCACACACCCCACTTACGGCGCAGAGCACTGCTTCCAGCGCGCGGAGGCAATTCTTGGCGGCGGGGTTGGCGCCCATGGCGGCGCTGTGCTCCGCCAACTTCTTCGCAATCTCCACGGCCCGCGGGTTCGTGCAGCAGCTCTCGTTGTTGTACTGCCCGCAGATCTGCAGCTGGTCCTTCGGAATCTGCGGTTGCGCTGGAGAGGGAGGGGAGAGGGGGGGAGGGGGAGAGGGGGAGAGGGGGAGAGGGGGAGAGGGGGAGAGGGGGAGAGGGGGAGAGGGGGAGAGGGGGAGAGGGGGAGGGAAAAAGGGGAATGTGGCATTTGAGTCGACGCGAAGGGCGACGTTCCTCTCGCTAGTGCAACCGCGTTCGTGCAGCAGCTCTCGATGTTGTACTGCCTGCATGCATATCTGCAGCTGGTCCTTCGGAATCTGAGGTTGGGCTGGAGAGAGGGAAAGGGTATAGGGGGAAGGTGGCTTTTGAGTCGACGCAAAGCGCGACGTTCACACTGACAGGCGAAATAGACTGACGGACAGAAAGCTGACGGCTGACAGACTCGCAAGCGGATCCGACTACCTGCACGAGAAGCTTGGCTAAGTTTCAACAGAGAAGGACGGATGACGAAAGCAACGGTCAGAATTTGACAGACGAGAAAGAACACAGTGTAAAGGACGTCTCGTTTCGAGTTCAATACGGAGTCGCGCTTTCGAGTTCAAAATGAAGTCGCGCTTTCGATTTCGAATCGAAGTCGCGCCAAGCCTCATCGTGGCGGTCAGAATAGTCAGCGGTCGAGATGCATTGCATCAACGGTTACGGTGAGCTCAGAGTTCATCAGAGGAGGAACGTGCATGCGTCCAGGACTAACTTACTCGAGTCAAGGCATAGCTTTTGAGCCGACGCATGACCGGCGAACCCGACCAGCAAGAGCACTATCGTCGCTAGTAGCAACGAGCCGGCTAGACGCCGCATCTTCGACGTGTAAAATAAAGGATAAGATAGAACGAATTAAGGTCTCCCCCTGACCGTTCGGCGACCCTGCAACACGCGTTTCAGAAGCTTGGTTGGCTCCGATGGCCTAAATATACTTGTTCAAGCTACGTTATTACCAGTTAAGGACCGTCATTTGCTGCACCAGGCTAAGAAACGGAACTGAGACATAAATATATGAGGAAATGGTCTACTCTAGATTCCAGCAAGGCGAGCGTGCAGCTCGCTCCAGTTTCAGCACAGGGAAAGTTACATAAGGAACCGTGAAAGACGGCTACAGTGTGCGTGTTGCACGCAGTCACATTCCCTGGAGCCGCCTTCACCTGAACGGCCAGAAAAAGTACGGACCGAGCAATTAGGTTCTGGTCGGGGCGAAATACTCTAGGCCGCCCCGCACTGGAATTGCGGAGGGGGGTGGTGGGAGAGGTGGGGGGAGGGAGAGGTGGGGGGAGGAGGGGGGGGGGGGGTTGATGATAGGGGAGGGAAGCAATGGTGGGGGGAGCGAATGTGTGACAGGAAAGGGGGATGTGGGGGATGCGGAAGGAACAGATGGCTGGGGTGATTGTCCCTTGGGGACTCCGCCCGCGTAAAGTGATGATCCGCGGAACCGTACTTTTCTCCGCGGGTGCTGCTGTCCTGATGCTGCGGGCGGGGGACAGGAAACCGAGAGCAGCTCCGCCTTGAGGGACTGGTGTGGGGGCGATGATACGACAGTCCCACCCATCCGAGGAGCACAGACCCAGGGTGATGGCAGTCGAATCGCCAAGACAAAACGAACGACGGCTGGCGAGAGGTTGGACGAACGTCGCAAATCTGGACGAAGTTGTCGGGGCTGTGAACGACAGGACCATGGTCCTTGGGACTTACGTTCTGTTTTGCTTACAATAAAATTTGATACTTCATACGAATTTACTGCACTGGTAGTCTTACAGCCTTCAAGGTGCCATTACTGCACTAGTCTCACATAATATATTTGAAACGCACGAAATCTAGAGAACTCGAGTGAAGAGGTGAGAGATATGAGATTATATTAAGATGAATGAAAATAGAGCTCAATTACACAATACATTCCTGCGGCTATTGATTTGTGCCAGATTGAGAAACTATGCACATAGCCATTGCTCGTGCATGGTGAGGTTGTGAATGGTTGGTTGGTATGATGTGGTGCGTGCGTGAGGGCATGCATTACGCGTTCGCTTCCATCCAGGCACGAGCTTTCGCCTCCCCCACATCACATGTAGGCCTTGGGGTCCAGGGCCTTGAGATCCACCTCCACGCCCTCCAGACCATCCCTGAGGAAATGAAAACAGAGAAGCACAATACCAATGCAGTGATCCACATGTAGGGCTCACATGCAGGCCTTTGCATCACATGTAGGCCTTGGGGTCCAAGGCCCTGAGATCCACCTCCACGCCCCCCAGACCATCCCTGTACGTACAAGGCAGGAGTGATGAGGTGACTTTTGAGTCGACTCAAAAGTCACTACGTACAAGGCAGGAGTGATGAGACTTGCTATGAAAAGACTGCAACACGGTGGTGGTGGTACCGTGGTAGGAGGGGAGGGACTTTTGTGTAATGAGTCGAATTTTGAGTCGACTCGGAGTGATGAGACTGGCTATGAACAGAGTGCAACATGGTGGTGGTAGGAGGAGGGGAGGGGAGGGGAGGGGAAGGGAGGGGAGGGGAGGGGAGGGGAGGGGAGGGGAGGGGAGGGGATGTCTTATGCGAAAAAGGAAGAGGTATGATCTGAGATTCTGAGACCCCTTTGAACGTTCAAATCTTTCACACCTTGTTTACCGAGGAGATTGAGATAAGGGAAATGGAATGTAGGCATGCTCCAACCCACCTCTTCATACACCGACGCACGCGTACCCCTTCTTGTACCTGCCAATCCAATCTTCTCTCATGTGTGATCTCCTCTTGAGACGCCTCAAACCGAAATTACTAGCACACACCGACACGCGCGTACCTCTTCTTGTACGTGCCAATCTTCTCGGTAGCTTCACTAGCAAAGGCTGCAATGTCTGTCTTGGCCATGCTCGTCTCCAGCTGCTGCTCCAGCGCCTCCAGCTCGCCATCCTTCAGCCCCAACCTGGTGGTCAAGAGGGGATAGCAGGACGTGGGGGGCAGCTAGTCAAGGGGGACAGTCCAGAAGCAGCGCCGTCTGCCTTGGCCATGCTCGTCTCCAGCTGCTGCTCTAGAGCTTCCAGCTCACCGTCCTTGAGCCCCAGCCTGGCGTGATTGCGACAGCAGAAAGAGGGGAGAGCAGGACGTGGGGGGGTAAGTCAAGGGTGACATTCCAGAGGCAGCAATGTCTGTCCTGGCCCTATTTGTCTCCTGCTGCTGCTCTAGAGCTTCCAGTTCGCCAGCCTTGAGCTCCAACCTGGCAGCAAGCAGCGATTTTTGAGTTGAGTAAACAAGATCCCACCCGGCAGCAAGCAGCAGGAATGCAGCCGGAAGGAAGTAAGGCACCAGATATCCGAAGCAGTAATGTCTTTCTTGGCACGTCACATCATCCCCACTGAAGAGAAAGCATCGTGACATTCTCTCTCTTCATTCAGCACTCACTTCTTATCGATGGCATTCACCTCCTCCTGCAACATCGCCATGCCCTTGGGATCATCCTCCACCAGCACCTTGTGCACTCCACTGTACTACCACCATCCACATCACTCAAGCCCAGCCCTATGCACTCACCAACAATTCACTTCCTGCAGCAGCGCCATGCCCTTCACGTCATCCCCTACCGATACGATGTACACTGTACAACAACCATCCACATCACTCTAGCACAGCACTATGGGCTAATACTACAGCACTCACTTCTTGTTGATGGCGTTGACCTCCTCCTGCAGCAGCGCCATGCCCTTCACGTCATCCCCCACCAGCGCCTTCCCGAGCTTCTTCTCCACACTGTCCAGCGCCGCAAACATCAGCTTCTCGGCTCCTAGCTTGTCCTCCACTCCCAGCCTGCATGCCAAGAGGTGGTTTACAGCGGAATGGGGAAGGTTGGAGTCAGTCAGGGGATTCGGGAAAGGGGAATGCCTTCCCGAGCTTCTTCTCCACACTGCCCACCACTGCAAACATGAGCTTCTCGGCTCCTAGCTTGTCCTCCACTCCCAGCCTGCATGCAGCAGAATGCACAGGGATGAGACGGAGAGGGGAATGATTTGCCTGTCGTCTTCTCCACGCTGTCCAGCGCCGCAAACATCAGCTTCTCCGCTCCGCTCCCAGCCTGTCCTCCACTCCCAGCCCTGGTGTAGGGAGTAGGTGGTTGAAGCAGAAGTGGGGGGGGGGGTGCCAGGGAAGGGAGGAGAGGGAAATGCCTTCCAAAGCGTCTTCTTCATGCGTTTTTCAGCTCCTAGTTCCACCTCCTCCAGCGCAACGCTTGGGGTAGGTGACTTTTGAGTCGACTCAAAAGTCATCCTCCAACGCAACGCTTGGGGTAGGTGACTTTTGAGTCGACTCAAATGTCATCCTCCAACGCAACGCTTGGGGTAGGTGACTTTTGAGTCGACTCAAAAGTCATCCTCCAACGCAACGCTTGGGGTGGAGGAACGGGAGCACTACAAAGTGCCTCGCTACAAGGTGCCTCATTACGAAGTGCCTCGCTACAAGGTACCTCGTTACAAACTCGTTCAGTGAGAAACGAGCACGGTCCACTCACTGCCTGCGGATGATGCGGGACTCTTCCAGGAAGCTGCGCACGTCCCGCGAATCCTCCTCTGCTGACTCCAGCAGGTTGGTGAGCTTCTCCGAAAAGGAGGGGATGCCCAGGCTGGGGGGTTTCGGGTGGAGGGAGAGAGGATGGGGGGGGGGGGGGGGGGGGATAAGCAAGAGGATGGGAAGGTTAGGGGCATGGCCGGATCCTCCTCTGCAGACTCCAGCAGGTTGGAGAGCTTCTGGGAGAAGGAGGGGGTGCCCAGGCTGTAAGGAGAAGAAAGTGAGGGAGGGGAGGGACGTGGGGCCGGCAGGGGAGGGACGTGGGGGCGGGATGGGAGCTTAGGGGGCTCCAGCAGACTCCAGCAGGTTGGTGAGCTTCTCGGAAAACGAGGGGATGCCGAGGCTGAAAACAGGGGGGGGGGGGGGGGTGGAAAAGAAGAGGGGGGGGGGGGGGTGGAAAAGAAGAGGGGGGGGGGAGGGGGGGAAGGGGGAGGATGGGAAAAGAGGACGTTTAGGGGCATGGCCGGATCCTCCTCTGCTGACTTCAGCAGGTTGGAGAGCTTCTTGGAAAAAGAGGGAATGCCCAGGCTGCAAGCAGGGGGGGGGGGGGTGGGGTGGAAAGGGAGGGGGGGGAAGGGGGAAGGGGGGAGGGGGGAGGGGAATGGAGGGTTAGGGGCATGGCAAAATCCTCCTCTCCTGACTCCAGCAGGAGGGAATGCCCAGATGCAAAGAGAGCGAGGGAGGAGAGGGAGGTGGGGGAGAGGGACGAAGGAGGGTTATGAGACATGGCACGGCCTTCTCAGGTTATGCCGAGGAGAAGAAGAAGGCATGGCAAAGCCCAGCAGCTTGATGAGATTCTCAGCCAGAAAAGGGCGGGACGCCGGGGATGGGCTGGGTGTGGGGGAAGGGTTGGTAGGTACCTCTCTATGTAAATCCTGCTGATTCGAATCAAAGGAACGAAGGAAATGCGTACCTCTCGCGAATGTTCTTGACAGCAGCAGCATACGTCTTGGTGGCCTTGTCGTCAGCAGCGTCCAGGGGGATGGGAAGAGGGACGGAGGACGAGGATGAGGTAAGGGAGTGAGGGAGGGAGCATAGTGAAATACCTCTCGCGGATGTTCTTGACAGCAGCAGCGTACGTCTTGGTGGCCTTGTCGTCAGCGGCAACCATGGGGACGCGCAGAGGTCGAGGGGGGAAGCGGAGGAAGGGGATGAGGGAAATATGGGTGGTCCGGTCCGGACGGACGTACCTCTCGCGGATGTTCTTGACAGCAGCAGCATACGTCTTGGTGGCCTTGTCGTCAAGAGCGTCCAGGGGGATGGGAACCTTCTTGAGACCTTCCAGGTACGACCTGAAGGACGCCTGCTGCTTGATGAAAGCCGCCTTCACCACATCCTCTGGTGGTGGGGGGGGGTTAGGGGTGGGGGGGTAGAGGGGAACATGAAAGAGAGGAAGGAAGACTCAATACACCTTCGGCCGTCCAAAGGTCGCCTGCTGCTTGATGAACGCCGCCTTCACCACGTCCTCTGGTGGTGTGGGGGGGGGGGGGAGAAGAGGAGGGAGGTAAGGGGGGAGACTCAATCAATGCACCTCCCAGCTACAATTTTATTGTGGCTTGCTGCTTGACGGATGAGCGCCGCATTCACCACATCCTCTGGTGAAGGAGGAAGAGGGAGGTGGGGGAGGACGGAAAGGGGAGGGAGAAATGGAGGTTAAGGACTCAATGCACCTTCCAGGTACTACCTGAACGCGGCGTTCCAGGTACTACCTGAAAGAGGCGTTCTGCTTGATGAATGAACGCCGCCTGCACCACATCCCCTGGTGAACGAGGAAGAGGGAACACCACTTGGGTGCCATAGAGGTGACTTTTGAGCCGACTCAAAAGTCGCCGCCTGCACCACATCCCCTGGTGAACGAGGAAGAGGGAGGCGTGATGAAGGGAAACGCCATGGCTGAAGAAATTGCCTTACTACAAAAATCATCTTATTACCCTATTACCCTATTACCCTATTACCCTATTCCCCTATTCCCCTATTACCTTCAGTCAGCAGGCATCTATCAGTCACCTGAACGATACCTGCTGACTGATAGATGCACTATCACCTGTCGCACATCACCTGTCGCACATCAGCTGTCGCACATCACCTGTCGCACATCACCTGTCGCATATTTCCTGTCGCACATCACCTGTCGCACATCACCTGTCGCACACACACACCGGCATTTCCTCCTCAGTAGGTACCTACCCTCAGCGGCGGGGGCGCCAGTAGCGAACCCGCGGGAGAGGTTTTCCGCCAGAAGCGCGGATGCAGGCGCAGCAGGGGAGAGCCTTGCGGTCAGCGCCCTGCCCTGTTGCGCGGACATGGGGGGAGGGGGAAGGCGTTGGGGAAGGAGTGGGGAACGGATTGGGGAAGGAGTGGGAGAAGAAGCGGGGGGAAAGTAGAGTGAGAGGCGGAACGAGGATCCGGACGAAATGATGGGGAACAAGACGAGACAAGTACTCCTCCTCTTTTCGTACGAGATGAGTATTGAACTCAATCGTCGCTACGAACACTCAAAACTAAGCCGGGCGTGGATGCTGCGAACGACCCCTCAGTCCAAGCTATCAGATCCGTCAGTACAGAACTGTGACGGCGTGTGATAGCCCCAAACAAAGCACTGAGGCACCACAACGGTAAGCTGTACAACCACGGACGCCAAAATGGTACCAGCGAGATGCAACGATAAGAGAACTGCGGGAGGAGGCGAGAGCTGGAGCGACGTACGGCGTGCACGAGGAGGCGAGAGCTGGAGCGAGCCGCCATCGGGGAAGACTCGATACAGGAGCGATTGGCGAAACGGATTGGCGAGCGAAGTACGAGCGAAAGGCGAGTGAATGGCGAGCAAAAAGCGAGAGATAGGGAGGCGATCTGGTGGGACGTGAGACAAGCCTGGTGACGCACGGTGGAGAAACGAGCCGCTGAGGAGCTTGAGTGGGTGATGGGCTGGTTTTGATCCAACGGTGGCTGCGCGCGAGTGCGGAGGGCGAGGGGGAGGAGGAGCGAGGGGAGGAGGGAGGGGTAGGGGAGCTTGTAGCCTGCATGAACACCTTTTTCAAACACTGAACAAAAATGCACCTTACTCTGTAAGAAAATGTGCTTCCAATATTTTGCACTTATCTTAATGCTTCCACTTCATCCCTTACTATTCTCAAATCATACCGAGTACTTCCCAACATTGTCAAGGTCAACAATAGGTGTAATCCAAAGAACTGCCAGCGCACCATACATTACAAGGAAGTCAGACAATCAGTTAGTAAACTGTAATCACTATAAGCAATAGCTAAACCCATTTACAGTCTCAGTTCCAGATCCAGATCAGAAAAACCTCGAGTCCCCTGTCCACTCCCATTCTGCGTAGGCCCATCTCTCTGTGTGCCAACAAAATATGCACTTGCAGAATGGGCAGAACCAGCAAGAGCAGTACTGGCAGTCTGGCCTGGCGGCGCCCGTGCTCCTGCTGGTGCTGCTGCTGCCGGGACTGGCTGCTGCATTATTGGCCCATGCGCAAGAGCGTGTGGCCGTATCCCAGCAGATGCTGCTCCTGGATTTGTTTCTGCTTGTCCCAGCACTTGCGACTGCAGCTGTGCCAGCATCTGTGCATGTGACTGTGTCGGACCTCCCTGCCCTGTGATTTGGCCGATCCTGCTCATAATAGCAGAAACAAGCGCACTGCGCAGCGCATGCTCCCCAGATAGACCACACGTGCCCTGAGTTGCACCTGATGCTGCTGCTACCCCTGACGCTGCACCTGACATTGCTCCTGGGTTCGGTGAAACGGCTGCTGCACTTTCAGGTGTGAGTGGGGATTGTAGAACGGCTCCTGGTGTGCGGCTGGCAGGAGGAACAGGAGAGTGGAGGACGGATGATCTGAACTGGGTGGCAGGGGCAGGGGAGCGAGCAGGAAACACTGCAGCTGAGGCAAGGGAGTGAGGAGGAGGGAGTGGAGGGGGAGAAGAGGCAAGGGTATGGGAAGACGGGGTGCGGAATGCAGGCGCGGCAGAGGGAGCGGGGTGTCTGTGGGATGGGTGTGGGGAAACGGGCATGGACGTGTAGGAAGGGACGTTGGAAAGGGATGGGCGGGCAGGCTGGGAGGAGCTTCGGGCAAATGAAATGTTGGGAGCATGCAGGCCTGGGGCTTGCAGTTTCTGCTGCTGATCCAAATTCTGGTGTTGCTGCTGCTGATTGATATTTTGCTGCTGCTGTGGCTGCTGCTGTGGCTGCTGCTGAATCTGTAGCTGTAGCATCTCTTGTAGTTGTTCCAAAAGTGACAATTGCTGTATCTGCTGCTGCTGCTGCTGGTCTTGATGGTCTTGCTGATACTCCTCTGTGCTACACTGCATGCCGGGCTGCAAGTGTGGCTGCGCACCTGCCTGCACTCCCAGCTGCTTTCCTTCCTCCTGCTGTCTCTCCCCGTGTTGTTTCTGCCAAGTCTGCTTCATCATTGGCTGCTGACTCGCTATAAGACTTAGCAGATCTCCGCTTGGTCCCAAAGCAGAACCAGAACTCTGAGTGAACTGCGTCCGGCTTCCCTTGGCTCCCCTCTCCGACGAATCATGGGAAACTTGGCACTTAGCTAAGTGCTGGGTCGCTTCCATTGCAGACATCTCTCCCTTTCTCTTCTGCTTGCTGTTGCGAGCAAGCCCAGAAATCGTCACACCCTCGGGCTCCACTTTCCCCTCCCCAAACTTCTCTTCCCCTGACGTCCGAGCTTCGGCCGAACCTAATGTTGAGGTTCGTTCCCCTCCCGCCCCTCCTGCACCCTCTTCCCCTGCCAAACCTGAAACTGCCTCAGTCTTTCTTCCCGTCAACCTTCCCCTTCGCTGCGATTTCCCCTTCCCCCCGCCCCTTTCCTTCCCCCCGCCCTTTTCCTTCCCCCTGCCCCTTCCCTTCCGCGTGGCGACCTCCTCCTGCTGATTCTCCGCTCTCGCGCCAACATTACCGCCACCGCTGACCCCCACTCCATCCTCCGCATCGCTCCGCGCAGGCGCGCGCGCGTCTTGCGCCGCGCCTTCGGCCGCGTCTTCCGCCGCCGCCGCGTCAGCCGCGAGACGATGCTCGTCCGCCGCAGCTGCCGCCGCGACTGCCGCCGCGATTAGTTTCGACCGCTTAGATCTGGAACCACCGGCTACCGGGGAAGTAACCTTAACCCTACCCCTCGCCATCGCGTCTCCTTCACACAACCCTAGTTGACCGTGAACCCCGCCTCTTCCCTCCGCTGCTGCCGAGGCTGCGAGTTTGCCTCGGACCGAACCTGCAGGCTCGCGCTCGACGAACAGATCGGTGCTTGCAGGCTGCTGAATTTTGTCAACCCTCAGCCGCTTGCTTCGATATGCGCCGCCTTGTGGTTTCACATATAGAGGATCCGTACTCTCGTATATCGAATCTCCTACTACCCTTCCAGCAACTGCAGCCGCCGTAATTCTCCCCTTACGTACAGCCCTGCCTCTAAGCAACCCTGCAGCTTCTGGCGAAATTTCGTCAACATCCTGGTAACCATGCCGAACGCCGGTTCCGTGAGAGGAGTGGTCGTGCGCGTCCAGCGCGTTCAGTGACGGAAACCGTTTCTCGCAAACGCCGCATCCGTACGGACCGCCGCCCGTCGGCTGAACCTTGGCGGAACTCGCTACAGTCGGGCTCAATAGAAGCAGCAGGTCTGCGGGCGACACCTTTCCCCACCTCACCTTGAACTGCTGGCTCCTACCGCAGTCAGTTACGTTTCCGCGAACGCCCGTCGGACTGCCGTCAGCAGGGCTTTCGCTGTCAGCGTTTTGCCGCCTCGGGCTAAAATTCTTCGAAGTAACGTTCAAGGCGTCATGTAGTTCCTTCTTCGACGGGGACGCGTTAGAAAAGTCAACGTCAACGTCTGCGACGACTTCCGCAGCGCCGACTGCTCGACTGGCATCGGGAACGTCGGCTGACGGCTGAACAGACGGTTTTGACAGACTGCCGGCTGCCGCTTCTCCGGCGGCGGTTCCGGCGTCATCCGCGGCGCCTATAGAAGCGGCGGCGGGAAGAGAGGCCGCGGCCGACGACGACGACGCGACGATACGGCTCGAGGAGCCATCGTGCGGCTCGGCGGCTTCAACTCGCTGCTTATTCTTCACTGCCTCCGCGTCAACCGCCGCGTGAAGCGGCAATTCTTGGCTCGTCGCTCTCACCAGCGCTTCGAACGCGTCCATCCGTTCGGGTGACGTCATCAGAGTCCCCGGCGCCGACGCGACGCCTAACAACAGATCCCGGTGGTGCGGGACAGAGGGCGACTCAGAGCCAGTCACGTGCAGAAGCGCGCCGGAGTTCGTCGATACTAAGAACGAATCGCTCGTTGTGCTTGTTTGCGTTAACGGCTTGACCCTGGCTGAAGGCTCGGAAGGCTCGAAACGGATAGGTTTGTCGAGGTCCGGAGATGCTAAGACTCGAAGAAACCCTCGATCTAGAGTTGCTGGCTCGCTGCTGCTTGCTGCTGCTGGGATAATCCCTCGTTCTTGATTCAGAAGGCGATCGCTGCTGCTTGCTGAGTGCTCGGAGCTGAGATCGCTGCTAACACGGCTGCTGGAGAAACTCTTCGCGGGGTTCTGACGTCCTTCCGAACGTGACTCTGAACGTGACGGCGAACGTGACCGGCAGACGTTGGGATTTGGATCACCAGCCCGGCTTCTTGGACGGTCAAAAGCCGCAGCTGCCTCCGTGCTTGGAGTGCGTGCCGAGAGACGCTCCGACGAGGGTTTGGGCAAATCTTGGCGCGGCGGCGGGAAATAACCGGCGAGCGGAAACATATCGGTGGCAGGAACATGCGCTCGGCCCGGCGCAGGGCAATTAACCGTCGTTCCCACGTCTCACCGCCGCACGATTAACAGAGAACGGAGCAGATGAGGCCTGAAAACGATCAGGCGAGAATCCCGGAGAGCGAAAGCAAAAACCTGGTGAGAGGAATCGAGATTACGTGCGGTCCCCGCCTTATCCAGAAAGGGAGTCCTCGAGGTGCTGTGTGTGACGTGGCGAGGGCCTTAGCGGAGTCTCCGAGATTAGGAAGCGGCAGAAGGAAGCTAATTTCCGGTTCGAGAAGCCGCTGAGGCCAACTCGACGAACGCTTCACACGCGTGGCCTGTAGCGATCGTGCGAAACGTTTCGCGAACGTGACAGCGACGGTTCCGCTTTTCTTGTGGCCCAAAGCCGGATGCAGAGACACGTGGGCGATCGAGGCTTGGCTGACGGTGAATGGGACACAGCGGAGCGGGCAGAGCTGCGCGGGCAGAGCTGCGCGGGGCAGAGCTGGGCGGGCAGAGCTGAGCGGGCACAGCTGAGCGGGCCGCGGGCAGAGCTTAGGACTGACAGCTGCACTTGACGTGGAGGGGAGGGATGATGCTCTCGAGATTCCCCCTCCTAGAGTGACTCTCGTCGAGGAGATGAGCACGATGAGGAAGCCCTGGCAACGAACGAACTGAGTGACGTGATGTGTTGGAGTAAGGGTCATTCAATCAGCAGCAGAGGCCCTACGACAAATCAAGCAGCAGAGGCATTCTCTAGGCTCGTAGCCATCCCCCAGAGCATGACAATGGCAGGAAGGCGAGTGAGACATGCAGCGAGAGCTGGCGAGGTGACACCGTCTCGCCCACACATGCGAACAGATTCCCTTCGAAATTGGATCTAAACTCGTGGTCAGACGTGAAAGGGGCGGTTGCGCTTAGCTTTGGCGCCTCCTCGACCTCAAGGGCAGGTGGCCATTCGGCAAGAAGGCTCGTTCGCTGGGATGGCTTGGGGAGTGGGCAAGAGGGCTTGAACCTGATTCTAGGAGTTTCTGACGGCGACAACGACAGAAGTGACAGAAATGGGGGAGTGAGGGGAGGGGGGAGGGAGTCATTCATCTCACCTTGGTCGGCGACGTGGGTGGATTTTGGGAAAAGGCTTTCCTTCTCTTGCTTTGGGGCTGCATGACGTTCGTGGCGCGAAAAACGGCCCCCGAAAACGAGCTGTCATGCGAGCCCTAGAGCCTGGGCTGGCAGGCTGGCTTGATTTGTCTTTTGTCCGACGCACTCTCCAGCAATTGAAAGGAGCTGCATTTGTTGGGTCCCACGCACGAACCCTTCCTTGCGATGGGAACTTTCCAGGCGTTTACCCTGTAAGTCTATGGATAGAGTGTGTGTGCGAATCACGCCCTGCCGAACTCTGCAACCATTTGTATACGATGCTACGATTGCTCCACTTTCGCACTGATGCAGCTTAGACTTGATGACGTTTAGGAGGCCATACGTTCCAGGATGACTCCTCCCAGAAGCAAGCCGTGTGGTTCCAGAACTTACGCTTTCAAACTATTGGCTCCATAACATGCTAACCAGCCAAATGATGCCAGTTTTAATCTGTCCTCTCAAACCAAATCTAGGTGCTTGGATCATGATTTTTAGAACTCGATTGAAGGTACAGAATTATGTTTTGAAACGCAAAACATGTGAATGCGACGTCTGCATTGGGGTAACCCTTTACGGAACCCCTTTGGGACCACTAGGGCGTTGACGACAGAAAAGACAGGGAAACAGATACAGTGTGCATATGGTACACGTTGCCACATTGCACTGGCTAGCTTCGTTAGAGCGAGTGCACACGCCACACAGTAGCCCTCGCGCCCACACAGCCCGTTCTCATTCCAGTGCAGTGCAAACACTAAATTTGAGACTCACAAACACAACCCCCACAGCTAAAATTTACCAGCAAAGAGTGGTCGCTTGCAACATCTAGGCATGGTGTAATTCAGTGTGGTTTTCTACATTTAGTCCTTCAAAAAATAATAAGATTATCAAAATTACCACCAACAGCTTTTACCGACCAGCTTGATGGTGCAATGTAAAGGAATGACGGATAATCGTTCATATCCGTTACCCAGATCAGTCACTGTGCATATACGGAATTTTAAATTGTATTGAACATCGTATTGAGAGAAGGCCCCTAGCACTCATAACTGTTGGCCTGAGGAACATTTCTTAGTCAGGGTTTTATGTGGTGAAGTGGGGGAGGGGGATGAAGTGAGTACATTTAATTATTGCAGATGAAGTGCTACACTCTGTACTGCTCCTCCAGTGCAATGCAGCTTGCCTGGGGGTGCGTGCGAATGGTCGAATTCCGATGTCTGTGATTGGTGTTTGTGACAAAATCTTGCCGCCTCCCTATAAGCACAGCACATCGTCCAGTTGCCTGGCCTGGCATTCTGAAGCCTTCCGATTGGCAGATTATGGCGTGGGGGGTGTTTCGTTTGGAAGGTGACCTCACTATGTCGGGCGCGTCAGTTCTTGTTTAAAGATGCAAAGTTCAAGTTCGTTCTGACGCTATGGGGCGTCTAAAGTTTGCAAAACGGAACGGATTTGACGGCACTTGCTGTAACACAGGAGATGATGCCGACGATACCGTATCCGGACTGACATATTTCGGTACAAAGCAACCCCGAACCAACAGAGGACAGTGCGTAATTGTCTGTCTAGACATGCTATCAAAGTTGTGGGAGGTAGGAACTGAGGGCACATTGAGCTTTGGGATTTGGCCATGGGATGGGATGGGACTAAGCTTTTCTCCTCATCACCTGATCAGCACCTCCCTACTCCCCTTGCATTCCGCGTACTAGTGGCTCGTCTCGCTATTTCCCATCATTAGCATCCTTGCTACTTTTCCGCTTGACCCTTTTGCCTAGTTTTCGTCCCTTAGGGTTTCGAGTCGGGTTTTGATCCACGGGCCGTAGGCGCCGGGCCGTCATCAGCGAGCCGTCATGCCTCCCGCTGTGGTCGATAAGGAGGCGAAGGAGGCTCTGGCGAAGGATGCGCTGGCGAAGTTCGTGAAGATTGGGCTGGACGAAAAGACCGCTCAGAATGCTGTCGCGAATGCGAAGGTTACCGCGAACCTCGTCGAAGTGATCAAAGAGGTGCGACACCGTCGCAGCACGTTTTCGCGTTATGCATAGGATGACCACTAAAAGCGCTGCTACCTGTCGCTGCGCTCTCAAGTTATGTTCTGCTTTTCACATTCACTTAATCCTGGCATTTCTGTTCTTGATCTCCCTGACGTGTCGCGCAGGCCCAGCTGGAAGACGGTTGCGACAAGGCGATTGGTAACCTGGTGTACACGGTGAGTTCTGCGACAGATGCGGTGTGCGTGCTTATGCGTTGACTTTTGAGTCGACTGTTAACGGAGGTCGGTTGTGACAAGGCCATTGACAAACTGGCGTACACGGTGAGTTCTGGGAGCTTCAGGCATGCAAGCACATTAATATCTTAACGTGCTTGTTTGCCTGAAGCACATGCATTGCCTACTAGATGCACGTGCATTGTCAGTCTGATCCATTCTGAACCGGATCTACTATCCACCTGACTCACTCTGGACTGCAGTTGCCACCAACCCACCCAATCTCTGGAATATCCTTTGCCACGAGCCAGATCAACAGTCAGGGTCCTTTGTCTTATCCTTCGTTACGTTTTTCCTGATCCCACTAACGCGTCCACCGCTGCTGCTCCTCCCTCGTTTTCTCCGTCCGTCCTCCTCTGCTGCTGACCCCTCCCTCCCTCTGGTCGCTGCCAAGTTCCCTGCCAACGCTCGCATCGATCGCCTCATCCTGCTGTTGCACCTCCCTCTCTCTCTTCTCTCCTCCTTCCTCATATGCATCCCTCACTCCCTCCTTCCTTCCCTCTCTCCCTCCCTCCCTCCTTCCTTCCCTCCCTCCCTCCCTCCCTCCCTCGCTCCCTCTCTCCCTCAGGTGGCCACCAAGTTCCCGGCCAACGCTCGCGTCCATCGCCCCACCCTGCTGTCTTATGTCACCTCCCAGAGGGTGAGCGTGCTTGTAACGAGGTGACCGTTGAGCCGACTCAAAAGTCCCTTGCTGTCTTATGTCACCTCGCTGAAGGTGAGCGTGCTTGTAACGAGGTGACTGTCTTGAGTCAACTGAAAAGCCGCCCTGCTGTCGCCACCTCATGCGTACCTGGCCACTGTGGGGCAGGAGAACTGTCCATCAACCTCCCCTTTGTTTTCCCTCTCCTCCTTTCTCTCCTCCGTTCCTCCCCTTCAGCTGGAAGCAGCCCATGCGTACCAGGCCACTGTGGGAGGGGTAGGAGAGAACTGTCCATCAACCTCCCCTTTATTTTCCCACTCCTTCTTTCTCTCCTCTGTCCTCCTCCCCCCCTACAGATCAAAACGGTCCCGCAGCTGGAAGCAGCCCATGCATACCTGGCGACTGTGGGGCAGGAGCCGCTCAACACTGCTGAGCTGGAGGCGAAGAGTGGCGTCGGTACGTCTAATTGCGTTGGGAGGGAAGGAGGGGCAAGGGGGCGAGGGAGGGGGGGAGGGAGGGGGGGAGGGAGGAGGGGAGGGAGGAGGGGTGCAACTGTCGTAGATACGTGGTTGGTGTTTCCTCAACAGGCGTACCTGGCGTCTGTGGGGGCAGGAGCCGCTCAACACTGCTGAGCTGGCGGCAAAGAGCGGCGTGGGTATGTGGACATGTGGGATGGGGTGTGGTGAGAGAGTGCAAACACTGTGGACATGAGGGGCGGGGTGTGGTGTGGTATGTGGTGGTGTTTGCGTGGAGTGGACGTGGCGTTGAAAGAATTCAAGGCATTGGACACTGAGACCGATCTAACATGCAGGAAAAAAGCACCCCCCTCAATGCAGTCTGTGCTGGCTCCTTTGCTCCTCGTGCCGTCTCCTCCCATGTCAGCTAATGCAGGAGTGGAGGAGATGCCTTTTGAGTCGACTCAAAACTCACCTCTTGGTCCTCGTGCTGTCTCCTCCCATGTCAGCTACTGCAGGAGTGGAGGAGATGCTGGAGGGATTTAGGGCAGCGGTCACTGAGGCGGTTTCCCAAACCAGGAAGAAAGCGCCTTTGCCAGTGTCGTCTGTGCTGGCTCCTATGCTCTCGTCCCCTTCCCTTCGCTCTCTCTTGTGCTGCAGGAGTGGAGGTAACGCTGGAGGATATTTGAGGCGCCTCAAAAATCGTCCCCTTCCCTTGGTTCTCTCTTGTGCTGCAGGAGTGGAGGTGACGCTGGAGGATATCAAGTCAGCGGTCACCGAGGCTGTTTCAGCAGTCAAAGAAAAGCTGGTGGAGGAAAGATACCGCTTCAATTGTGAGTTGCAGCTTCGGCGGTGAGATAGACATAGACTGGCAGCGTGTCGGCGTGTCTCTGTGGAGGACATCAAGGCAGCGGCAGCAGTTTGTTACTGAGGCAATTTCAGCAGTCAAAGAAAAGTTGGTGGAGGAAAGAAAGATACTGCTTCAATAATGAGCTGTTCTTTGCTTCTACAGCTGCCTCTTACACAAAGGCGTAATGCGTGGTGCAGTGCAGTGCTGCCTTTCCCTTACGTGCACCACTTGGAGATCGTGTGACCCAACATTCTAGCAGGTTCACGGCTTTGTTACAATGTGAACCTTTTCAAGAGGTCCCCCCTTTTTTCCCCCAACTCCCCCTTCTCTCCACCCACCCACCCACCCCCCTTCTTCCACCGCCCTCTCTCTCCCCCCCTCCCTCCCCCCGTTCCCTCTCTTTTCCTCTGCAGTGGGTCTCATTCTGGCCAAGGTTCGCTCGCTGCAGCCATGGGCGGACGGCAAGCTCGCCAAGGTTGGTGCCTGTATAGCAGCTATGTATGGGCTGTGCAGGTACGTGTGCGGATGTGTCGATGCATGTGGGTGAGAAACATTCCCGCCATTCTCGCCAAGGTTCGCCTGCTGCACCCATGGGCCTGGCAAGCTCGCCAAGGTGCGTCTGAAGCCAGTTTAGCAGGCAAGGTGGATGTTTGGCAAGCTATTCGTGTGCCCTGGCATGCCCATGCCGATTCAGACTCTGATTTGCTCCATGTGTGAGCGCGTCTAAGCATGTGTGAGCGCGTCTAAGCATGTGTGAGCGCATCTAAGCATGTGTGAGCGCGTCTAAGCATGTGTGAGCGCGTCTAAGCATGTGTGAGCGCGTCTAAGCATGTGTGGCTTGCTCTTGACTCGACTCAAAAGCCGATTCAGATTCACATGTGCCCCATGCGTTAGCGCCTCCAAGCATGTGTGGTTGGCTTTTGACTCGACGGATTTGACCCATGCGGGAGCGCGTCCAAGCATGTGTGGTTTAAGGCAGGCATGAGCATGTCAGGATTCGCATGGCTCTCTATGTCTGCTCCGCCCTGCTAGAATGAGGGGTCAATGGAAGCCCAAGTCCGTGTTCAGGCTCTCATGTTTGGCATCTAGGGTCTAGGGTCGGGGGTCTAGGGTCTAGTGTCTAGGGTCGGGGGTCTAGTGTCTAGGGTCTAGGGTTGGGGGTCTAGGGTCTAGTGTCAGGGGTCTAGGGTCTAGTGTCAGGGGTCTAGGGTCTAGGGTCGGGGGTCTAGGGTCTAGTGTCAGGGGTCTAGGGTCTAGGGTCGGGGGTCTAGGGTCTAGTGTCAGGGGTCTAGGGTCTAGGGTCGGGGGTCTAGGGTCTAGTGTCTAGGGTCAGGGGTCTAGGGTCTAGGGTCGGGGGTCTAGGGTCTAGGGTCTAGGTTCTGGGGTCTAGGGTCTAGGGTCTAGGGTCTGGGGTCTAGGGTCTAGGGGTTGGGAGGTTGTGGACCGACTTACCCAAATTTCCTGGCATGCAAGTTTCAAACGAGCTTCCACCGGCTTCACCAATTCGTCTCACGTGTGTTCATGCATGCCGGAGGAGGAGGTGGATGCACAGGCGCTGGCGCTGGCGCTCCAAGGTCCATCGACTGAGGCGAATGTGGCCAGGCCAGTAAAGAGGCCCCCTCCCTCCAACGCCTTCTCCCATTCTTCTGATGCGTTTTAATGCGTGCAGGAGGAGCTGGATGCACAGGTGCTGGCGCTTCTAGGCCCCAAGACAGAGGCGGATGAGGCCAAGCCAGTGAAGAAGAAGGAGGAGAAGAAGCCCAAGGGGGAGGACTCTGCCGCTCCTGCTGCTGCCTAAGAGGGATGAATCCCAAGGCATCCTCGTGTCCCTTTCGCCCATTCATTCTCCTCTCTGTGTGTGTGCGAGCAGGAGGAGGTGGACGCACAGGTCTTGTCTCTGCTGGGGCCCAAGACAGAGGCGGATGACGCCAAACCGTTAAAGAAAAAGAAGGAGAAGAAGCCCAAGGGGGAGGACTCTGCTGCTCCTGCTGCTGCTGCAGGGGCAGGGGATAAAGCAGCGGGTGGTGCCGGGGCAGGGGGACTGGAAGGGATGGTGGAGGAATCGGACCCGTATGCCATCTTCCCCAACCCGCAGGATAACAATATTGTGAGCTCACATGGCTTGGGGACAAAGCAGGGGCGGCAGGGGCAGCAGCAGCAGCAGGAGTGGAAGGGGCGGTAGAGGAATGGGACTTGTGTGCTATCTTCCCCAACCCGCAGGACAATAATTTAGTGAGTTCAGAAGAAGCTGTAGAGTAAGTTCGGAACGCGGCTTGGAATAAGTTGAAAACCTGGGCGGGCCCTATGGACCTGAGAGGTCACCCCTTCAGCCTGGGATTGGCTAGCGTCGGCCACATAGCTCTTGAGACCTACTTGCTTGCCTGTCATCACCTTTCAACCCTCCCTTCTCTCCCCTCTCCCCCTCCCCCCTCCCCCCTCCCTCTCAGGTTCACATGAAGGTCTTTGTCAGTGATGGCAGCACATGGCGCCCCAAGAACAGCAGGGTGAGGCTGCGTTTTCTTATTTACTGCTCTCCCATTCCCCCCATCTTTCCCTCCCCTCCCCTCCCTCCCCTCTCAGGTTCACACGGAGGTGTTCTTCAGCGACGGAACGACGTGGCGCCCCAAGAACAGCCGGGAGGCGCTGGAGAAGCACCTGGCAGTCACGGGGGGCAAGGTCTGGTCGCGCTTCCCCCCGGAACCCAACGGCTACCTGCACATTGGACATGCCAAGGTGAGCCAACCAAACCGCTTCTCTGATACAGCGACACTTGTGCGGCGCCTCGAAAGGGAGCCGTTCATGTCGCTAGGCCGTGCCATTCTCTTGGCGCATGGCCAGAGCCTTTCATGTCCTTCCGTTCCCCCATTTTTGAGGCGCCTCAAAAATCGTCTCTTGGTGCATGGCCTTGACCCGTTCATGTCCCTCCGTTCCCCTCCCACTCCCATGCAGTCCCTCCCACCTGCTTTCACAGGCCATGTTTGTGGACTTTGGCCTGGCTAATATTATGTTATGTTTTTTGTTTTTTTTTTTTTAACAAAACAGAACACACCCTCCCATTCGCTTTCAGGCCGTGTGCTGTATGTGGTGTGTTTTGAGTCGACTGGTGTGGGCACTTTTGGCCCAAAATGCAACTGGTGTGGGCACTTTTGGCCTGGCTAAAGTCGGAGACACTTTTGAGGCGCCTAAAATAAAGTCCATTCATGCCTTTTTCCCTCCCCTTCCATGTGATCCCTCCCCTTCTCCTCCTTTAGGCGATGTATGTTGACTTCGGACTGGCGAAGGACAGAGACGGCAACTGCTATTTGCGGTGAGTGCTCTCACTTGCTCACTGCGACTTGTAGTTAGTGAGTGCTCTCACTTGCCTTAGCACCAGTTTTGAGGCGCCTCAAAACTGTGCTTTCATTTGCCTGGGCACCAGCCTTACTACAGAAACTCCCTCTTATCAACCATGCTTGCTGGCTCTCGAGGCAGAAACTCCCTGCATGCAGCCTTACGACAGATCCTCCTTTCATTTCCTGTCTGCTGCTCGCCGACTATGCAGCACCCTTGCCCTCCTCTGCGTATACTCAGTTGTCAAGGGGTGATTCAAGTCCCCTGATAAACAGCATAGACAGGCACGTGCCTGCTCGGTTGTCGAGGGATAATCTCTGCTGCTCTCGCACATGCCAGTCCCCTTCTTTTTTCACTTTCCCCCCCTCCTCTTGTACCATGAGCCATCTTCCTTTTCTCGTTTCTTCCCCATTTCCACCCTCTGTTCCCCCCTCCCCAGGTACATCGAGAAGCAGAGAAGAGGTTGATGTGGATACCAATCCCGAGGCAGAGAAGCAGTGGTACATCGACCCCATCCAGGAGATTGAGGCTCCGTCTAGTTTGAGGAGCAGGGGTACATCGACCTCATCTGGATCCTAAAATCCGGATTCCCTTTCCCCTCCCCATCCTCGGCTCCGCTGCCACCAGCTATGACGACACCAATCCCGAGGCAGAGAAGCAGGAGTACATCGACCACATCGAGGAGATTGTAGCATGGCTGGGTTGGAAGCCGTTCAAGGTGAGAACAGGTTTTAGTGAGATGTACGGGTGCACTGGGGCAGAGAAGCAGGAGTACATCGACCACATTGAGGAGATAGTAGCGTGGCTAGGGTGGAAGCCGTTCAAGGTGAGAACAGGTTTTAGTGAGATGTATGGGTGTATGGGACAGAGAAGCAGGTTACATCAACAACATCGAGGAGATTGTAGCGTGGCTGGGGTGGAAGCCCTTCAAGGTGAGAACAGGTTTTAGTGAGATGCATGGGTGCATGGGGACAGAGAAGCAGGATAACATCGACCACATCGAGGAGATTGTAGCGTGGCTGGGGTGGAAGCCGTTCAAGGTGAGAGCATTGCTCAATGCACGACACCCGTTTAAGGTGAGAAGCAGGAGTACATCGACCACTGTGAGGGGATTGTACCATTGCCGGGGGTGGAAGCCGTTCAATTCAATGTGAGAGCTTGATTTCGAGCATGGCACGGCATGGCATGCGTTTCAAACAGGCACAGTTTTCAATCGGTACGAGGGGGAGAAATTGCAGGTCAAGGTCAAAGTTCAATCCCTTCCCCCTCTTCCCTCCTCCCTCCCCTTTCTTCCTTCCTTCCTTCCTTCCTCCCCTCCTCCTCCCCCCCCCCCCCCCAGATCACCTATAGCAGCGACTACTTTTAGGAGCTCTTCGACTTAGCCGTCCTGCTGATCAAGAGGGGCTACACCTATGTGGACCACCAGACGGCGGAGGAGATTAAGGAGCACTGTGAGAAGCACCTGGAGAGCCCGCGACTCACTTTCGAACCCTTCCTTCCCCCCCACCCCAACAACCAGATCACCTACAGCAGCGACTACTTTCAGGAGCTCTATGACCTGGCAGTGCTCTTAATCAAGAGGGGATATGCCTACGTGGACCACCAGACGGCGGAGGAGATCAAGGAGCACCGCGAGAAGCACCTGGAGAGCCCGTGGAGGAACCGGCCGATGGAGGAGTCCCTGCAGCTGTTTGAGGACATGCGCAGGGGGCTCGTGGACGAAGGGGCTGCCACGCTTAGGATGAAGCAGGACATGCGGAACGAGAACCCCAACATGTGGGATCTCATTGCTTACCGCATCAAGGTGAGTCATGGGATGTGCTTATAAGGGGTACAGGGAAGAGGGGCTGGTGGACGAGGGGGCTGCCACGCTGAGGATGAAGCAGGACATGCGGAACGAGAACCCCAACATGTGGGACCTCATTGCATACAGGATCAAGGTGCGTGGGTGAGCGGGTGGGTGGGTGGGAGGGTGGGGTTGTGCTTGTAAGGGGTATAGGGCAGTGGTTGGCTGACCAGGGGAAGCACCTGGAGAGGAGAGCCTGGGTAATAGGCTGGTGGAGGAGTCCCTGCAGCTGTTTGAGGACATGCGCAGGGGGGTGGTGGACGAAGGGGCTGCCACGCTTAGGATGAAGCACGCCATGCGGAATGAAAACCCCAACATGTGGGAGGGACTTGATTGCGTATAGGATTAAGGTTAGTAGCAGGTTGTGCTTGTAAGGAGTATAACTGTACAGGCTGCCATGCTGCGCGTGAAGCAGGACATGCGGAGTGAGAACCCCAGAGGAGTCATTCTTTAGAATTCTCAAACATGCGGAATGAGAACCCCTACATGTGGGATTTGATTGCCTACGGGATCAAGGTGAGTAGATTGGGCATGGGGGTGTGCTTGTACGGGGTATAACCGTTAAGGGCCAAGGCTGGTGGACGAGGGGGCTGCCCATACCCATGCCAATACCCATACGCACAACCATGGCTCCTGCAGTTTCACCCCGCAACCCCATGTGGGCACAAGTGGTGCATCCACCCTTCCCATTCCCGATTCCCTTTCCCATATCCCATTCCCCATACCCCATTCCCCATACCCCATTCCCCATACCCCATTCCCCATACCCCATTCCCCATACCCCATTCCCCATACCCCATTCCCTTCCCCATACCCCATTCCCCATACCCCATTCCCCATACCCCATTCCCCATACCCCATTCCCTTCCCCTTATCTTACTCACCATGCCGTATTTCCCATGCCCACACCCATGCCCCATTCACCCATTCACCCAAGCCCGCTGTTGCGGCTGCAGTTCACCCCGCACCCCCATGTGGGCAGCAAGTGGCGCAAATGCATGCCTCATACCCCACTCCCCATGCCGTATTCTCCGTGCTCCACACCCATGGCCCATTCCCCATGCGCTGTAGTTCACCCCGCACCCCCATGTGGGCGACAAGTGGCGCATATGCATGCCTCATACCCCACTCCCCGTGCCGTATTCCCCGTGCCCCACACCCATGGCCCATTCCCTATGCGCCGCAGTTCACCCCGCACCCCCATGTGGGCGACAAGTGGTGCATCTACCCCAGCTACGACTACACTCACTGCATCATCGACTCCCTCGAGAACATCACGCACTCTGTAAGCTTTGGTTGTACCTTCGCTTTGTGTGTGCCTCGCTCTTTCCGTGCCTCACTGGAGTTTGAGACACGGAGGGCGTCCTACTGCTGCCTACTGGAGGCACTGCGTTGTGTGTGGCTGTGACTTGCTCATACTGTGCCTTTCTCTTTCTACATGTGTCTCCACTGCTCCGCACAGCTGTGCACGCTGGAGTTTGAGGCGAGAAGGGCGTCCTACTGCTGGCTGCTGGAGGCGTTGGGTTGTGTGTGACCGTTCCGTACTCTTTCTGTGCCTCGCGCTTCCTGTGCCTTCCTTGCCCTTTCTTTCTGTGCCTCTGAGTGTCGCCTCTGTGTGCGTCACATGTCTATTCTGATCCACAGCTTTGCACGCTGGAGTTTGAGACGAGGAGGGCGTCCTACTACTGGCTGCTGGATGTGCTGGGTCTATCTGTGACTGAGCCTTCCTCTTTCTGTCTGTCTGTCTGTGCACGCCATGCATCTTCCCACCCCTGTGTGTATCAACGGTACATTCCCAGCTTTGCACGCTGGAGTTTGAGACTCGGAGGGCGTCCTACTACTGGCTGCTGGAGGCACTGGGTCTGTACCATCCGTATGTGTGGGAGTATGCGCGGCTCAACATCACCCATACCATGCTGTCCAAGAGAAAGGTGGGTGCATGTGTGCATGCAAGCATGCAGCATACAGCATACAGCATACAGCAACAGCATACATCATACCACATACAGCATACATGTATGTCATGTGGACATGCATTGGGTCTGTCTGTACCATCCGTATGTGTGGGAGTATGTGCTGCTCAACATCACCCACACCGCCCTGTCCAAGCGAAAGGTGGGTCATGTGTGCATGCCAACTTTTGGTTCTGTCTGTATCATCCACACGTCCTTTCCCCCGACCTGCCCTCTCCTCCCCTCCATGCAGCTGAACCGGCTGGTGATGAAGCATTATGTGAACGGGTGGGACTGAGAAAGAGTGGGGCTGGCCCTACTGACCCCCTCCTCCCCACCCTCCCTTCTTCCCCTCCCCGGACCCTCACCCCGTTTCCCCCTCCCCATATTCTCCCCGTCTCCTCCAGCTGAACCGGCTGGTGATGGGGGGGGACAACCCCCATCTGATGGCACTTGGGGGCATGCGAAGGCGATGAGGCTATTTTTCGCTCATCTTCCCCCACTCTCCCGTCCTGCTCTCCTCCAGCTCAACCGGCTGGTGATGGATCACCATGTGAACGGGTGGGACGACCCTCGCCTCATGACCCTGTCAGGGCTGAGGCGGAGGGGCGCTGACCCTGCTGCCATCAACGCCTTCTGCAGAGCCGTGGGCATCACGAGGAAGTGAGTGGCGGGAGGGGGCTTGGGATCATTTTTGTGGTATCATGCGTCGGGTTCCGGGTGATAGAGCGCTCAGCTGAGGGAGGTTGAGGCACCATAAAAGCCTCATGACCCTGTCAGGGCTGAGGCGGAGGGAGGCTGACCCTGCTGCAATCAACGCCTTCTGCAGAGCGGTGGTGGGCATCACGAGGAAGTGAGTGAGTGGATGGTGCTGTGCTGGGTGAGTAAGTTGTGAGCGAATAGTTTGTGAATGGTGTCGATGGCTGACCCTGCTGACCCTGCTGACCCTGCTGCCATCAACGCCTTCTGCAGAGCTGTTGGCATCATGAGGAAGTGATTGGGGGGGAGGGTCATGGGATACGTTGGATCAAGGGTGATTCGAGTGGAGCTCCTGGTGCATTTCATGCGGGACCATCTGAACCGCACTGCAACCTTTTTCACTCCCCTACTCCCCTGTTTGCCACCCTGCATCCCTTCAAACCGCTCTGTACCACTCTTCTGTGTAATGCAGCGAGAACGTGATTCGAGTGGAGCTATTAGAGCACTTCATGCGGGACCATCTGAACCGCACTGCACCGCGCTCGCTGGTGGTGCTGAAGCCGCTCAAGGTGGTGATCACCAATGTGGGCGAGGAGGAGGTTGAGATGGTGGAGGGCAAGCGATGGCCCGATGCTAAGGAGGGCGACCTAGAGGCCACTTACAAGGTGAGGGATTCACAAAGTGTATTCTGAACAGCCCATCACCCGCTCAAGGTGGTGAACACCAGTGCGGGGGAGAAGGAGGTGGTATATGGTGGAAGGGAATCTTTTTTAGGTGCCTCAAAAATCGTCTCAAGGTGGTGATTACCAGTGTGTGGTAAATGGTGGAGGGGAAGAGATGGCCCGACGCCAAGGAGGGCGACCCAGAGGCGACTTACAAGGTGAGGAGCACAAGGGGCACTGTGACCCATCAGCCGCTCAAGGTGGTGATCACCAATGTGGGCGAGGAGGAGGTGGAGATGGTGGAGGGCAAGCGATGGCCGGATGCCAAGGAGGGGGGTCCGGAAGCGACTTACAAGGTGAGCTTCTTTCAATGCACTTTTCCACTGCCCCACCATGCCACCAACCCACCACTCCACTAACACCCCATCATCCCATCGTGCCCTGTGTGGTGTACAGTACATCGAGCAGCTGTGCCCTGTGTGTGCAGCTGCCCTTCTCCTGTGTGGTGTACATCGAGCAGCTGTGCCCTGTGTGTGCAGCTGCCCTTCTCCTGTGTGGTGTACATCGAGCAGTCTGACTTCCGAGTGAAGGACAGCAAGCAAGCACCTTTACAGCTATACACCGAGCCACCGAAGGCCATTCTTTCCCCACCATCCCTCCACTGTCTCATCCCACCCCAAGTCCCCACCCTTCCCTGCAGCGACCCTTCTCCCGTGTGGTGTACATCGAGCAGTCCGACTTCCGGGTGAAGGGCAGCAAGGACTACCGAGCCACCAAAGACTGTATTTGTTTCCCCACCACCCCACCACCCCACCACCCCACCACCCCAAAATCCCACCCTTCCCTGCAGCTGCCCTTCTCGCGAGTGGTGTACATCGAGCAGTCGGACTTCCGAGAGAAGGACAGCAAGGACTACTACGGACTCGCCCCCAACAAATCGGTCATGCTCAGGTGGGGTTGTGTTGGCAGACGTGTTTGCGGTAAAGGGGTGTAGAATGTCTTATTGACTGGCGTGTGTTTGTGGTACAATGGTGGGACAGACGGTGAACAGGTGAAGGACAGCAAGGACTACTATGGGCTTGCACCGAACAAATCAGTCATGCTCAGGTGGGGTTCTGTTAGCCGACACTGTCAGGCTTAGGTTGGCTCAGGTGAGCTCAGGTGGGCTCAGGTGGGCTCAGGTGGGCTTATTATCTGTCCTTGTTGGTGATTTGCCTTGTTGCTTTCTGTCGGTGTACCTTCCAGGCACAATCTATGCATTGAAGCATACTCACTCTATGTTTTCTTATGCGTTTATCAGGTACGCCTATCCTATAAAGTGCACTGAGGTGATCTATGAGGAGGATGGCACGACGGTCAAGGAGCTTCGGGCCGAGTGTGACCGAGCCAAGAGCACCAAGCCTAAGGTGAGAGCCAAGCTGACTAGCCTAAGTGTAACCTTCTCCTAGCTTGTCAGAAACCCTCGCTTTCTGTCCTTCATGAGATTCGTTTCACTTGTCTCACGCTCACCTATCATCCACCTCCCTTCTTCCTGTTGCACAATAGACTCTACTCCATTAAAGCACCTCTCCCCCCTCCTCTGACTTCTTTGACCCCTCCCCACTCCCCCCCCCCCCCCCAACCCCAAGCTCCCAGGTGTGACCCATTGGCAAGCACAGCACTTCTAGCACCTTCTTATCTCCCATCTCCTTTCCTCCTCCCCCCCCTCCACCTCGCTTCTGCATCTTCTGTCTGTTGCGCACCAGGGGGTGATCCACTGGTTGGCGGAGCCCTTCAATCTCTGCCTTAGCTCACCCTCCCCCCCTCCCCCCCTTTCCCTTCTCTCCCCCTCTCCTTCCCCTCCTCCTCCCCCCCTTTCCCCTTCCCCTCCACCTCGCTTCTGCATCTTCTGTCTGTTGCGCACCAGGGTGTGATCCACTGGTTGGCGGAGCCCTTCAACCTCTGCCTTAGCTCACCCTCCCCCCCTCCCCCCTTTTCCCTCCTCTCTCCCCCACCCCCCTCTCCTTCCCCCTCCACCTCTCTTCTGTCTGCTGTGCTTCAGGGTGTGATCCACTGGGTGGCGGAGCCCAAGCCCGGCCAGGCCCCCCTTACAGTCACAATCCGCCTGATCAACAAGCTCTTCCTCTCTGAGGTATGTCCCTCAGTTCGGTCTCTCGCACCTGCCTTTAGTCCATCTCTTACCCCTCCCTCACACTCCCTCTCAGCTCTCGCGCGCTCCCTCTCATTTTAGGCGTGCCTCCCAAGTCTCCCCCCCCCCCCCGCCCCCCCTCCCTCCTCCCACTGCATACGATATTTCGAGTCACTTCAAGAGTAAGTTCTCCTTGCTCTCCTGTTGCTCGCTACCCCCGGTCCTCAGAGCCCCAACGAGCTGGATGACTGGCTGGGGGACCTCTATCGCAGTCAATGGATGAGAATCAGGGAGCGCTGGCAATTCCCTCACTTGCCTCTCAATCCAACCCCTTTGCCTCTCTTTACACCCACCCCTACCACTCACTAACCCCCGTGCCTCAGAGCCCCAATGAGCTGGATGACTGGCTGGGGGACCTCAACCCTGAGTCTATGGAAGTGATAGAAGGAGCACTGGCAGAGCCGACCCTTGCATCTCAACCCATCTCAACCCCTTCTCTTCACCCTACAACCATCCGTTTTCATCACCCCCCCTTCATTAGAACCCCAACGAGCTGGATGACTGGCTGGGGGACCTCAACCCCGAGTCTATGGAAGTGATCGAAGGAGCGCTGGCAGAGCCGACCCTTGCAGGGAAGCCCGCTGGCAGCACGTTCCAGTTTGAGAGGCTGGGTAAGCGAATGGGCTGGAAAGGGGAGGTGGGGAGAGGAGGGAGGGAAAGGGGGGTGGGGTTGGGGGGTGTAGTTTTGTGGGGGGGGGGGGGGGGACGATCAGAAAAGGGATGGTTTTCTGCAATCTTAGTTCTTTTCAGTGGTTGACATATTCAGTGGGCACAGCTTGCTCCTTTGAAATGTGGTTCCCCTCTCTCCTATCCCCTCCCCTCGCCTCTCACAGGATATTTCTGTGTTGACACCGATTCGACGGACAATCACCTGGTCTTTAATCGCACGGTTACACTCAAGGAGTCGTATCCAAAGTTTGGGGCCAAATAAGCTAGTTGCATCAAGATGGTAGTTTGGAAATTGACAGCGCGCTAGCTTATGATGTTATATTGAGCATCCCAGTAAATGAAGCTCTGGAGACCTTGGATCCACTAAGAGTGCGATTGTTGAACCTGTGCATTGCAAACAAACAAGTGGAAGGGGATGTTATTATCGCATTGTTGCAGTTGCGCTGTAACTCAACCCAATGTCGCTATGGTTTCGCGCGACATGCCCGCGCAGCATGACTGGAAGGTTCGACTGCCAGACCAGCAGCAGATCCAGCCGCCAGCGCGTTTTCCGCCAAACGTAAACCCTCAACCAGAGTGCGGAGCGGAATCAAAGTGATCAAAGGAATCTCCGCGGAGCCTCGCGCCAATACTGAGCTCTCTAGTGAGAGATGCCACTTCCCGGGACCCACACGCGCACGCTCCCTCATTCCCCCTCATTTCCTTCCCCTCCCCTCACGCGGCGGGTAACAGAACTTCCCCCCGCTGTACCATTCCGCCATCTTTCAGCGTTTCTCCGCTAAGCGCTGCTTTTTCTCCCCCTTCCGCCCGCCACCCTCTCTCCCCCCCTCCCCCCTCCCTCAGCGTGCCTTTACTTACTGCCTAACTTTCTCCCAGCTTTGCTCTTTTCGTCCCTTTCCCTCGTAGCAGGGCCTGATTGCCGACCTTTTTCTTAGCAACTATCTCCTTCACGTTCCTTCAGCAAGACATTCCGTCTTGCGTTGGTCTCCTTGGATCTTCGGACTCGTGCTGTGACCCTTTCCAATGGCCCCTCTCGTACGTGTCTTTGCCTCGACTCAGAAGTCCTCTCGTACGCGACTTCGTCTCGAGTCTCGTGCGTTCATTCGCGTGATTCTGCGGTCAAAACTGTCCAGATCAGCCGGTCGTTACTGCCGTTTCCTCCGATTACCGTTCGTTCTGTGGCTGTCGTTGCCAAGTTCGTTATGCGTCAGCCAATGCCCTTCTTCCCTTCGCCTTTCTTCGAGCTCATGTCCCTTGCTACCGCGCGGGCCCCTCGAGATCCGCCTGAGCATGCCATTTTCGTGTCTCATTTTTGCCGTTCTTCCCCTCTTTTCGTATTCACCCGTCTCTTCTTATTCGGCTGTGTTCCTCAGAAGCTGTACACGTTCTCGCACAACAGGAACGCCTACAAGGCGCTTATCGCGGCGGAGTATACCGGGGCTAAGGTCGAGGTTCCCCCTTTCGAGTTCGGAAAGACCAACAAGAGCAAGGAGTTTCTCGCATGGAACCCCATCGGCAAGGTGCGTGTCAAAAAGCGTTTTAATTTTGTAGTATTCGTCGTAGTTGTGTATTGTTTCATTCCGTGTGAGTTCGGCAATACCAACAAGACCATGGAGTTTCTCGCATGGAACCCCATTGGCAAGGTTTGTTTCCTTCGTACACGCACAGATCAGCAAAGCCAGATCAGCAAGACCAGATCAGCAAAGCCAGAACAGCAAGACCAGATTAGCAAAGCTAGATCAGCAAGACCAGATCAGCAAAGCCAGATCAGCAAGACCAGATCAACCGGGCCAGATCAACAAGGCCGATTCAATACAAATCGGCCGCGCGACATTTTTCTCTGCGTGACATTTTTCAATACAGACGCGATTCAGAACTTGCGTGGCTGTTGTGATCTGACGATGCGTTTCGCTCTTTTGATCCCTGTCGTGATTCATAATGATTCCACATTTGTTCCGCGGTACGGTCCGTGACCTGTCGTGATCCCCGCATCTGATGCAGTTGCCAGTTTTTGAGACGCCTTCTAAAAAAGTTGTGTGAGGAGTCTACTGTTGAGGCGCCTAAAAATTGACCTGTCGTGATCCCCGCATCTGATGCAGTTGCCAGTTCTGCAAACTTCCGTCGGTCCGATCGTGGCTTGTGACGGTTCAAAACACCTGTCGTGATCCCCGCATCCCATGCAGGTGCCGGTTCTGCAGACCCCCGACGGTCCGATCTTCGAGAGCAACGCCATTGCCAAATACGGTACGCGATGCAAGGCCTTGATCCTTCGAGGGGTTTTGCTCCGTTAGATTCTGAAGTCACCCCAGGACCTTGATCCCTCGAGAGTTTTGCGCCGTCGGATCTGCAGGATCTCGACGGCCTGATTTAGAGCGACGCGGCCACTTCAAACCGCCAATTTCCTGTTTTTCTCCACTGTTTCGGTCTTGTTGATTTATCTTGTGGACTTTTCTTCGTTCTCCCTGGCAGTTGCCAAGTCGTCTGATAAAGGCCTCGTCGGGACATCCGTTTACGAAACGGTATGATGAATTGGATCCTCTATATTTGTTTCTCTCTCTGCCGTCCAGCTTGTATTCGCTCTTAATTCCGTGCGTGCCGCTCTTTAAATGTTTCCTCGTCATTGGTGATTGTAGCTACGTTTATGTTCAGCTTGACTTGCTGATGGTCTAGTCAGTCGCGGATCGAACGGATCGGATGATGGCTTTGTGATTCGGCTGAGTTTTTGCGGAGATTTTGGCTGATATTTCTGGGTTTTTTTTCGCTGATTTTTTCACCCCTGTTACGTTTTGCGTTCTCGCCCGGTTCTGGCAGGCGTTGATCGACCAATGGATCGATTTCACGACCAACGAGATCGACGCGCATCTCTGGAGGTGGTTCGCTCCGTACTACGGCTACGGCAACAAGGTTCAAGAGGTACCTCCTCCTCTTCTTCCCCTCCTCTTCTTCCCCTCCTCCTCTCCTTTCCCTCCTCCCCTCCCCCATCTTCCGCCCCCTACTGGTTCAAGAGGTACCTGCCGTCCCGGCTCTATGCTAGAGTGATTATCTAGCGGCGGTTCGCTCCGTACTACGGCGACAGCGCCAAGGTTCAAGAGGTACCTTCCCTCCCTCCACCCCCTTCCTCCCCGTCATCTGCTTTGGACGCAAGTAATCGATGCTGGGGCTGGCAGTGACCACCATGATGGTAGATGCTTGGCGAGGCAGCGGCTCGGAGAGCTCGAGCGTAGGTGGATGAACCCTGGTTTTGGTTAAAACCAGGATGAATTAGTTTCGGCGTGTGGAAGCCGTCATCAGCAGCTGCTTTGGACGAGAGTAATCGATGCTGGGGCTGCTAGGGATCCATCTGACGCTGGTTCGCTCCTTGCTACGGCCACGCCGCCGAGGTTCAAGAAATACCTCCCCTCAGTCTGGCCTCCCTGAACTCGCACGTCGACTCCCGCACATTCCTTTCCGCTCTCCCTTTGCCTTTCTACCAGTCCTCTTACCCGCTTTTCACCCTCCCCCCTTTCCTCCCCCTCCCCTCCCCCCTCATACTTACCCCACCCCAATCCTTTTTCCCTGGCAGACGGAGGACAAGGCTATGGAGACCTGCACTGGCCCTGCCTCCCTCAACTCGCATCCCCCCTCCACCGTGTCTCCCTCCCCCCGCCCCCTCGCCTGCCCCTCGCCCCCGCTTGCTCCACGCGGTTTTCCCTGTCAGGTGGAGGACAAGGCGAAGGAGGCGTGCAAGCGCGGCCTGGCCTCGCTCAACTCCCACCTGGAGTCGAACACCTTCGTCGTTGGTAACCGGGTTACTCTCGCGGACATCGTCGCCGTTTCGCAGCTGTGGACGGGGTACATCACGATGTTTACCCCCGAATTTATGAAGGAATTCCCCCACGTGGACCGGTTCTGGAACACGCTGATCAACCAGCCTAAGGTCAAGAAGGTCATCGGGGAGGTCCAGCAGGTGCAGGCTCAGCCCACGGGCGTGACCACGTGGTTCGAAGGACCAATCGGGAAGCTCCAGGCCGCCGCCGCTCCCAAGGCCGCCGAGCCCGTTGCTAAGGTGAGATGAGATCTCTGCTAGGGGCTGACTCTTTCTGCTAAGGTGGTATGAGATTTCTGAAGGTGACTCAAGGGAGGGATACTTGTCGTTTCCTGCCGCCGCGGTGGGGCGGTTTGGCTTCGGGAGGGTGCGTGTCGGGAGTTGGGGTTAGGGGTGGGTCGGGGTGTTGGGTTGGGACGTGGGATGCGGATGGGGGTATAGGAGGGCGGTGAAGAGGGAGAGGGAGAGGGTGGGAGCGTTTTTGGCCGTGTTGTGTGAAGGGATGGAGCGCGTGGGTGTGGGTGTGTATGGGAGAAGGCTTTAAAGTTTAGGCAAGCAGCCCGCTCTTCCCTCCCACGCCCGCTGCAGCAGCAGAGGGAGCGGCATGGGAGGACGGGGGAGGATGGGGAGGCGCCGAAGCCCAAGGCGAAGAACCCCCCCTGGACCTGCTGCCGCTCAGCCCCAACCCCTGCTCTCTTTCCCCCTCCCTCCCTCCCTCCCTGTCCCCGTACCCCTTCCCACCCCTTCCTCCTTTCCCCTCGGTACAGCCCGCCGCTGCAGCAAGGTGACTTTTGAGTCGACTCAGAAGTCACCTCTCTCCCCTCGGTACAGCCCGCCGCTGCAGCAAGGTGACTTTTGAGTCGACTCAGAAGTCACCTCTCTCCCCTCGGTACAGCCCGCCGCTGCAGCAAGGTGACTTTTGAGTCGACTCAGAAGTCACCTCTCTCCCCTCGGTACAGCCCGCCGCTGCAGCAGTGGACGCAGGGGAGGAAGGGGAGGCGCCGAAGCCCAAGGCGAAGAACCCGCTGGACCTGCTGCCGCCCAGCCCTAAACCCTGGTCCCCGTCTGCTTCCCACTCCCTCCCTCCCTGTCCCCGTCGCCCTTCAACATGAATTATCAGCCTGCTGCAGCAGCAGCGGACGAAGGGGAGGAGGCTGAGGCGCCGAAGCCCAAGGCGAAGAACCCCCTGGACCTGCTGCCGCCCAGCCCGATGATCATGGACGCGTGGAAGCGGCTGTACTCCAACACCAAGGCCAAGGACTTCCGCGAAGTGGCCATCAAGGGTACGTTAAAGGGAGGCGAAGCGACGTTTGAAGATGGGAAGGATGAGAGGGCATAAAGTGTTGGCATGAGGTGATAAACGCCTGGAAGCGGCTGCCCTCCTGGACCAAAGCCATGGACTTCCGCGAAATTGGCGATCAAGGGTGGTGGTGAGCTAGGGGGGAGGGCAAGGGGGAGAGGGGCAAGGGTGGCGAGCTAGGGGGAGAGGGACAAGTGAGGGAGGGTTTGGACATGATAGTATGTTGCGAACTTACATGGGAAGGGAGAAAGTGTGCGAGGGAAGGGAAGCGACTGTAATTTAACACCAAAGCCAAGGACTTCCTTGAAGTTTATTAAGGGGACAGTAGTGATTGCCAGAGATGCATTTCGGCGTTGAGAGATTTCTGAGAATTCTCAAACATTTCCGCACTGCACTTGTCGCCCTCACCGCATCCCTTGCTCCCTGCTGTCCCCTCTCCCTCCCCCCTAAAAAAAAAAAAAAAAACCCATCCAGGCTTCTGGGACATGTACGACCCTGAGGGCTATTCCCTGTGGTTCTGCGACTACAAGTTCAACGAGGAGAACACCGTCAAGTTCGTGACGCTGAACAAGGTGTCGGGCTTCCTGCAGCGCATGGACCTCGCGCGCAAGTACGCCTTCGCCAAGATGTGCATCCTGGGGCCGGACGACGGCCCGTTCGTCATCAAGGGCGTGTGGCTGTTCAGGGGACCGGATGTGCCCCAGTTTGTCATGGACGAGTGCTACGACTGCGAGCTGTACGCGTGGACCAAGGTGAGAGGCCGAGGCGGGTCGAATCAGGGCTCGAGAAGGGGCTTTTAGGCAGGTGAAACCGTGGTTAGCAGGGGGTTCTGACGCAGTGCGAAGGGTGAAGGGAGGTGGTGGTATGGGGCAAGTACGCCTTCGCCAAGATGTGCATCCTGGGCCTGACACCGGCCCGTTCGTCGTCAAGGGCGTGTGGCTGTTCCGGGGGGCGGATGTACGGCAGTTTGTCATGGACATCTGAGGGTCGTTCGTTCACCCCAACTAAACCCTCCTGTCCTTCCTCTCAAATTTCCTGCCTCTTCCCCCCCTATCCAGGTGGATCTGTCTGACGCCGTCCAGAAGGAGCGTGTGAGCCAATACTTCGAGGAGCCTGACGAAATCGACGGGCTTGTGCTGCAGGAGGCCAAGTGCTTCAAATGAGTGGGCTCTATGGAGGAGAGGCAGGCTGGGTAATCACTTGGTCTTTGTTCCCAGCTGGTAGGCCCTCTGCCACTGTAGCAAATTTTGCCAGAATCTAGGGATTGTTTTAGTGCAATGCCAGCCTACCGTGTTGTGCCAAAGTTTGCAATGCGAAAGTTATGATCAACGAGATGGACCTGGTGTTGTCTAGCGATCCGAAGTAGAAATCCGCGTGTGGGAATAACGCGTATGCTGGACACGCAGTCCACGATTGAGCTCAAAATTGCGCGCGGAAGTGTACCGTTGTCAAATACCTGTCAGTGGTTCAGAACCGTACTGCGCCGCAGCACACCAGCTTCTACCCTGTTCTGAGTGAACCGCCAGGGTCAAATCTGGCACAGAGAAACAGACTTGAGATGGATATTTAGTCTGTTTCCGTCGATCTTTCCGTCAGCCAAGTTAGAGGAGTTAGTTACAGGACGGTTTTGGGAGTTACGTTTAGTCAATCGTTTCGCTGCAGGAGAGTCTGTTTCCCTTTGACCAGCCATGTAGCTTTCCGTATGCTCAGCTACTAAATAGATTGCGAAGGTTAAAACAGGGATTAGTCTGCCAGTTCGCATTTCGCATTTTGGACAGCGACAGGCGACAGCCATGGCGACGTCGTCGCCAGCTGTTCGCAGGAGATCGTCATTCCCAAGCGCCTTGTCGCAGCCGTCGCTCCGCACCTCTCCGTCGCCCGCGCGACCAGTTCCGCCTTCCGCGTGGGAAACCCCCGCCGTCCTCCGCAGGCGCGGGCGAATTCGGCGGAATCGGGGGAAGCGGGGGAATGGGGGAGGGGGGAGCGGTGAGCGGAAGCGGCCGTCCGCGGTTGCGCCGGCGCCGCGCATTCGCTGACATTGCTGGCGCTGCTAGTGTCCCCACAATCGGCGCGTTTCAGACGTATCGCCACCCGTTGATCGATCGAATGCTCGAGCGCAGAAAGGGATGCCGACGCTGACGGACGCGACTGTTGCGGCGGGAATCACGGTGACTGCTGGGCTCCTACTGGCTGCGGACGCGACCCAGGTGAAACTTTGTCCTGCATCGGAGGTAAACGAGGGGAGGCGACAGACATTTGACAGACAACTGACAGACACGTTTTGCATTTTCAGCTCGCTTTATTACCGATTAACATCAGCCGTGTAATTTTGAGGCGTTTCTGCATCTCAACGATTTTCCAACGTTCTCATGTTCTCCTGTATTCTGTTGATCCCTTGTGACTTTTGAGTCGACTCAAAAGTCACCTAATTTCCCACGTTCTCATTTTTATGTATTCTGTTGATCCCTTGATCCCGCTTTACTTGAACCTTACTAAACACGTTATATCCTTCAATTCTTTTTGGCGCCTTATAAAAGGAGAACTTCACCTTGTATCATTGAACCCGCCCGTGCAGGGAGCAGCAGCTGTGGGATTGGCTGGTGGATTCAGGCGTGGGAGGGGAAATTGCAGGGATCCTTCTTTCCGTCGTCCAAGTCTCTCTGGCCGTCCTTCTCCTCCTCTCCCTCCTCTCCCTCTCTCAAATCATCTTCACTCGCGTAACCAACCCCACAAAACCCCCGTTCTCTTCCTTTTCCGCTCCGTTTCCCTTCCCCGCGTCTCCCACCCCTTCCTCGCCTTATCCTTCCAACCACAACCAATACCACCAGCAGCACCAGCAGCAGCAGCAGCAGCACCAGCAGCAGCAGCAGCAGCAGCAGCAGCAGCAGCAGAGTAATCAGCAACAGGATGTTGCGGATTCTCTCCTTGTCCCCCAACGATCAGCCAATCATTCTGAAACACGTGGCACAACTCTACACACTCCCACGCCTTCCGCCTCTTTCCCCTCCCCGTTCCCGTCCCCGTCCCCGTCCCCTGGCCCTTCCGCTACCTCCTCTTTCCCTCTGTACCCCCAAAAGCTACGCTCGTTTCTTCATCAGTATACTCCTTATAAGCAGTTGCAGCACCAGCAACATAAGCAGCAGCAGCTACAGCAACAACAGCAATGGCAGCAGCAGCAGTATCAGCAGCAGCTGCTACAGCAGCAACAGCAGCAGCATCAGCAGCAGCTGCTACAGGAGCAACAGCTGTATCAGCAGCAGTTGTATCATTCACTCCCTCACACTCCAACTCCCCATCGCCCTTCTCACACCCCCCTCGCTCACTCCTCTCTCTCACACCCGCCTTTCTCCCCCCAACCAACACCAGAAGCAACTACTGCTGCTGCAACACCCAACGCCCCTTCCTCCCTCCCCACCCTCCCCCACCACTCCCACTCCCTCCTCTCCTCTCTTTCTCACACTCTCCACCCCTCTCTGGCCCTCCACCACACCCCCTCTCTCGCGCACTCCCTGCCCTTACCCCTGGGAAGCAAGAGGAAGCAAGTAGAGACAAAGGAGGAGCTGCAACAGCTGTTGATGAATTTAGATGGCAAACTTGCTGCTGCTTCTGCTGCTGCTGCTGGGGTGGTGGGGGAGGGGTTGGGGTGGGGGTGGTGGCAGGGGTGGGGAAAGGGATGCGGATGGGGAATGGGGTAGGGAGGGAGGAGGCGGGGAGGGGGAGTAGGAAGGGGCACGGTGAGGGGGGGAGGAGTGAGTGCGGGAGCAGCACACGTAGCAGCAGCTACAGGCAGAGGCGGAGGCGGAGGGGGGTATTACCCCCTCTCGTATCAACAGTCTCCTGGCAGTCTCCCGGCGCACTATCACCAGTCCCAACCAGGCCACTACCACTACCAGAGTTCAGAGCGCCTTCCACCGATCTCTCCTCGTGCTCGTGCGGATTCACTCGTTCAACCCCCCTCTCCCACTCTCCTCCGCTCGTCCTCGCTTGGCGCACCAGCCTCCCCCTCCCATTCACCCCTCACCGTTACACCCTCCCACCTACGCTCCCCACACCTACCCCCTCCGCCCCACCACACCTCCCTACCGCTCCCCTCACTTTCCCCCTCTCAAATCCTCCCTTTGATACAGTCACCTCGGATTCTCTCACGCCTGATACATTCACATCTTATAACCCCTCCTCGCCCCTCCTAGTGCACCCTAGGCTGACTCCTAGCCCGTCTCGAGCCGCCATAGTGGGGAAGAAAGGGGAGGTGGAGAGATTAAAGCCCATGGCGCCTGGGGAGGAGGAGAGGGGTTTAGGAGCCTGGGCGTGCTGCAGTGGAGGGACACGTGGCGCGACAGGATTCGCCAGTGGTTCTCGCAGCACCTGCTGAAGGCCCTGGTGAAGAAGATTGAGGCAGCTCCAAGCAAGGTGGGTGCGGTGGGATGGTGGTGACGAGTGTGAGGGTGGGTTGGGTGGGGTTTGATGGGGTTAGGTGCGGTGGAATTGGTGCCGCCAATTGCCAGTGGTTCTCGCATCACCTGGTGAAGGCCCTGGTGAAGAAGATTGAGGCAGCTCCAAGCAAGGTGGTGCGGTGGGGGGTGGTAGTGACGAGTGTGAGGGTGGGTTGGGTGGGGTTTGATGGGGTTAGGTGCGGTGGAATTGGTGCCGCCATTCGCCAGTGGTTCTCACAGCACCTGCTGAAGGCCCTGGTGAAGAAGATCGAGGCAGCTTAAAGCAACGTGGGATGGGGAGCTGTTTTGGGAGGTGGGATGGGGAGGTGTTTGGGGAGGTGAGATGGTGAGGTGTTTGGAGAGGTGAGATGGGCCAGGTTGTTCCGAGCAAGGTGGGTGGGTGAGCAGGGTGGAGTGAGCAGCGGTGAGCAGGGTGGAGTGGGTGAGGCTGATGGGGTTAGGTGCGGTGGAATCAGTGACAGTGGTCTAGCAGCACCTGCTGAGGCCTGGTGAAGAAGATCGAGGCAGCTCCAACCAAGCAAAGTGGGGATGGTTGAGGGTGGGTGAGGGTGGGTGAGGGTGGGTGAGGGTGGATGGGTGAAGAGGGAGTGTTGGGTGGAGGTTGATGGGCCCAGTGGCCGTTTGAGTTGGGGGTGCGTGTGGGTGGCAGGCTTGGTGGTTGAGGTGAATTTGCATGTGAGGTTGCATGTGAGGTTGCATGTGTGCATGTGAGGTGGCATGTGAGGTTGCATGTGAGGTTGCATGTGTGCATGTGAGGTTGCATGTGAGGTTGCGTGTGAGGTTGCATGTGAGGTTGCATGTGTGCATGTGAGGTTGCATGTGAGGTTGCATGTGTGCAGTGCATGTGAGGTTGCATGTGTGCATGGGACTTTCATCCTTCCTTACTGTTGTTTCGAGTCCCTCTTACGAATAGAAATTACTTTTCTAATGAACCCCCTCCCCCCCTCCCAACCCCCAATCCCCTATTCCTCCCCAATCCCAAGCCTCCCCACAACCCAATCTCCTACCCCCCCCCCACTTCCCCCCACTTCATCTTCCCACCCACTCCTTCCCCTCACCGTTATCAGCAGCAGCAGCCCCTCTCGGCCTCTCCTCTCCATCCATTCTCCTCTCCCCCTCTTACCCCTGCCCTCCCCCGCTTCCACCGTTCACCCCTCGCAGTTATCAGCAGCAGCAGCCCCTCTCGGCCTCTCCCTCTCCCTCGAACCTCTCGACAGCCTCGGCAACTCGGCCGTACCTCTACCTGCAGGCTCGGCAGGTCTGACCCAGACCTCCGCCCAGGCTCGGCTGCGGCGGCAGCAGGAACCAGCAGCCCTGGTTTGGGAGTGGGAGGGTTGGGAGGAGGGGAGGCAGGGGGGTGGAGGAGGTGGGGGGAGGGGGAGAGTGGTGGTGGTGCAGGGGAGTGTGATGGGGGAGAGAGAGGGGCTGCAGCAAGTGAAGGGGATTCTGCTACAGCTGCTACAGACGCCCACTCAAGCAGGTATGGTATCTTGCAGGTGAATGAACACAGGACTTTACACCCCTCGCCCCTTTCCTTACCAACCCCACCTGTTGGGTCTATACGTAGCTTGCATCAGCCACTAAGTGACTCTCTTAGTCACTCATCCCAAGCCTGTTCACCCGTTGTTTCCCCCTGTCCTTCATTTTCCTTCCCAGCCTCGCCTGCAGGGTGCATATGTGGCCTGCTCCAGCCGCCTTCTGAGGCACGCCAGCCCTCAATGTACCCAGCCTGTTTTCTGCTCACCTGCTCTCCGCCTTTCCTCTCCAGTCCCACCTGCAGGGTCCATATGTGACTTGCACCAGCCGCAACATGACTCTTCCCAAGTTCTCACTATGCCCTAACATGTGTACCCTTCCTCCTCTTCCGCCCTTTCCTCCCCTTTCCTCCCCTTCCTCTCCTTTCCTCCCTTTCCTCCCCCTTCCTCTCCTTTCCTCCCCTTTCCTCCCCTTCCTCTCCTTTCCTCCCCTTTCCTCCCTTCCTCCCTTTCCTCCCCTTCCTCCCCTCCCCACTTCCCCCCTTCCCCACTTCCCCCCTTCCCCACTTCCCCCACTTCCCCCCTCTCGTTTCCAGCCCCATCTGCAGGGTCCATGTTCGACGTGCACCAGCCATATTGTGCTCCTCGTTCCCCCTCCTCCCCTCGCCAGCCCCTCCTGCAGGGTCCATATTTGGCTTGCACCAGCCGCAGCAGCAGCAACAGCAGCAGCAGCAGGTGGAGGCACAGAAGGAAGCTGCGCGGAACCTTCTGGCAGCCATAGCGGACTACGAGCATCTTAGGGACGTCCTTAGAGGGCACTGGGCCAAGGGGCTGCTGCTGCCTCGTGGCAGTGTGCCATTGCAGTACAGCACTCAGCGGATCAAAGGTGGGATGGCTGGTGGGCTGGGTGGAGAATTTTCCTCTCCCATACTCCTCATTGCTATCCTTTCTCCTCTCTATTCTCACTCCTATGTCAGTCCCTTCTTCCTTTGCCTCCGTCATCT